CCTCCTGCTCCTCTTGCCTCCTGCTCCTGCCTCTTCCCCCTCCATCCCCCTCCACCCTGCTCCCTCCTCCCTCTTCCTGTCACCTATTACCTCGTCCCCTACCGCGCTCAAGACCCTCCTCCTCCTCCTCTTCCCTCCTGCTCCTCCTTATCCTCCTCCTCCTCCTCCTCCTCCTCCTCCTCCTCTCCTTATCCCCCTTATCCTCCTCCCTCCTCCTCCTCCTCCTCCTCCTCCTCCTCCTCCTCCTCCTCCTCCTCCTCCTCCTCCTCATGGTGTGGGCGGGGCCATGCGTGGCGCGAGGGCCACGGGTCGGCCAGGGACGAGAGGGGGCCATCCGACGCTGCTGGACGGCCCGCGCGCAGTCAAAAGCCTACGCCGACGCCACCGCGACGCGAGCCCCGCCGTGCTCCACCTCGCCCCCCCTGGGAGCCGGCCGGGGCGGAGGCACCGACCTCGCCACCGCGGCCATGGGCCTGCTGTCCTCCATGGCCGCGACGGAGTGGCAGCCCTCGCCTTTCGAGGAGCGGCCGCCGCGCGCCCGGGCCCTCGCCCCTCGCACGCCCTCGCCGCCCTCCTGGGCCCCCCCCCCTCTCCGCCCTGTGCTGCTTAGATCCGGGTCTTGATATCCGGTGGCCGCCCCGAAAAGTAGAAGAGCGCGAAAAGCGCGAAAAGTAGAAAAGTGCGAAAAGCGCGAAACGTGCGAAAAGTAGAAAAGTGCGAAAAGTGCGAAAAGCGCGAAAAGTAGAAAAGTGCGAAAAGTGCGAAAAGTTGCGCGAAACATTTGAAACGCACTCGAAAAGCAAAAAAACGCGAAAAGTGCGAAAAGCGAGAGATGAGCGAAAATGGATCAGCGATGCGCACAAGAGGCCGAAGAGCGCGAAGTGTTCGAATGGCGCGCAAAAAGTGCAACTAAAAGCACGAAACGCGCAACAAACGCGAAAAGTTCAGACAACAAGGCGCCGTCGGTGGAGAAAAACGAAAATAGCGAAACAAATGTGAAACTACGAGGACACAGTAACACGACAAATCGGAAAACCGAGACGCGGAAGCCTACGGAACGCTGAGAAATCAATTCCTTGTGAGAAATTCAGCAATGAGAAATTTGGCAGACAATCCTGCTAACATTGCAAAACCAACAGAATCCGGAGAGAGGAAAGCCAGGCTATACATGTCACGGAATACCCCGTTATCCTTCCTCCTCTTTTGTTTTCTTGACATGGGAGCCGCAACGCGCGGAAACGAATAGGAGAAACACGAACAGCGGAAAACATGTAAAACACACGCGAGCGCGAGAAACGCGAACCACAGAATACCGAGAACACGTGACGCGCGCAATAGCCGGGCGAAAAACATGAAGACCAGAAACGCATCCAAAGCGGAAGTATATCCCACAAGCCCTTTAGGGCGCAGGTGGTCTAGGGCGTTTCCTTTTCCAACCTCCTTCCCCCCCCTGCTCAGGAGGTTTTACCCCCCCTCCTCCATGGGTCTGGACGGGCTCCCGCGCGAGGTGTCAGAGCGTTCCTGTTGGCCCAAGATGGCTCCAAGAGGGTCTCGGAAAGGCCAAGATGGCCTCTAAGATGGCTCAATATACCTCAAGATGGCCCAAGATAGTCTCCGAAATGTCTCAAGAGGCTCCAAAACGCCCCCAAGACGGTTCCGAGTGCCCTCCGAGCTCTCCGAGGATCCCCCCTAAGAGGCCCAAACCTGTCAACAACCAACAGGAAACATATGTGTGTTGCCTTCTCGCCTTTTCGCTTCCGATGGGCTCTTGAGGCCTAAAGTTGGCCCCAAGAGGGCCCCAAGACGGCTCCAAGAGCTCCCAGGAGCGTTCCCAGAGCGCCGCAAGAGGGCCCCAAGACGCTCTTTTTGAGCCTCCGAGGGGCGAGGGCCTGAATTGCAGCCGCCGACCTGTTGTTGAACAGTGGGGCCCAAGATTGCCCCAAGAGGCGCTCCCAGAGCTCCTCTAAGAGCACCAAGAGGGCTCCCTGGACCCCTCCAAAGAGCCTCAAGAGGGCCCCCAGAGGACCAAGGAGCGGGGGGTAGTGGAATTGACCGGGATGGGAATGAACGGGAAGGAGTTGGGAGGAACGCGGGGGCCGGCGAAATGGAAGGAGCGCGAAGGAGTGAAGAGAAGTACAATGGAGCGGAATGATGCGAACGAAAGGGAACGAGTGGGGAGGAGTTGAAAGGAGCGGGGGGAGATGGAAAGGAAAGTGAAATAGTGGGACGGAGCGGATTGAAGTTGGGAGCACGGAGACGAAAGGAGCGGAGCGGGGAGGAGTGGGCAACAGTGGGGAGGAGCGCGGAGGGGAGAAGGGGATTGGAATAGAGTGGGGAGGCGCGGGAGGAGTGCGGAGGTTTGCGGGGGCATGCGGCGAATGGGGATATGAGCAAAGTGGAAGAAAGCGGGAAAGGGTAGAAAGGAGAGGAGGGGGAGAAACGAGGGGGAGCGGGGAGGCGGCAGGAAGGAGCTGATAGTGGAACTGGGGGAAAAAATGGAGCACGCAGTCGATGCCAAGAGACACCCGAAACGAAGTACGCTTCACAACGCGCGCTGCCTGCCGCGTCGCATGCGGGGCGGATGCTTTCCAGTAGCTGCGTCTCATCGAAAGATTTCGGGGGCGCCCAAATCATCCCGAACTCTCGCCGGAAGCCCGAGTTACGCACGGCCCGAAAACCACTGGGAAGATCGAGGTTCGAGGATCGAGGATCGAGGTTGTTGAACGCGCTCGGCAACGATTGCGAAAAACTTAGAAAAAGCAAAAACAAGAACAACAACCGTGCTCCATGCGAGGACAAGCGAAACGCAGGAAAAACGCAAGTGGAACACGGCCACGCCTCATCATCCTGCCCCTCCTGCCGCTCTCTAGTGTTTCTTTTAGAATATGTTAAACCATTCGCGCGTTTCGAACTGGTCCTCCTTCTCGCGCTGCACACGCTGGGCACAGAGGTTTCGGGGGCGCCCAATATCATCCCAAACTTCCGCTGGAGGCCCGAGTTACGCACGGTCCGAAAACCACTTGGAAGATCGAGGTTCGAGGATCGAGAATCAAGGTTTTTGAACGCGCTCGGCAACTATTGCGAAACATGTAGGAAAAAAAACAAAGACAAGAAAAACAAGCGTGCTCCATGCGAGGACAAGCGAAACGCAGGAAAAACACATGTGGAACACGGCCACGCCTCATCTTCCTGCCCCTCCTGCCGCTCCTTTGTTTTTCTTTTAGAATATGTTGAACCATTCGCGCGATTCGAACTTGTCCTGCTTCTCGCGCTGCGCGCTGTTAAAAATGCGGTTCCTTCCCAAAGCGTTTCTCATTCCAAGTTCGCTCTTATCGCGCAAGTCCCGCTTTGCTGCTTTTCGTTCTTATCGCAAAATTCAAACGCACGTTCCCCGTTTTATCAGGGTTCGACTTTCTTGTTTTTCGTACCTATTAGCGTTTCTCAACTTGTTGCACTGTGTTGCTTCGTACTTCTCGCACCTTTCTTTCGTCCTTCTCACACTTTTTGTACATTTTCGCACTTTTCTGCTTTTCTATGTTTCGCACTTTTCTACTTTTCGCATGTTCGCACTTTTCGCGCTCTTCTACTTTTCGCACTTTTCTACTTTTCGCGCTTTTCGAACTTTTCGCATGTTTCGCACTTTTTTACTTTTCTACTTTTCGCACTTTTCGCACTTTTCGCGCTTTTCTACTCTTCTACTTTTCGCACTTTTCGACACTTTTCGCGCTTTTCTACTTTTCGCACTTTTCGCACTTTTCGACACTTTTCGCACTTTTCGCGTCCGCCACCGGATGTTTGAGACGCTTAGATAGCCGGCTCAGCCTCCGCCGCCCCCCCCGCCCACGCTCACCCTCGCTCTCCCTCGCCCTGGGCCGCCCTCGCCGCCCCCCCTCCGCGCCAGGCTCGAGGCTCAAGCCTCTCGTGCTCGAGGCTCAGGCGTGTGCACAGACGCTCGCCAGGCGTGTGCTCATGCTCGACGCTCAAGCCTCTCATGCTCGAGGCTCAGGCGTGTGCTCGAGGCTCAGCCTCTCACGCTCGAGGCTCAGGCTCAGGCGTGTGCACCTCTGAGCGGTCCCACCGTCGAGCGAGGCTAGCGAAAAAAAGGCACCTTTCCTATCTCATGGTGTCGCAGTGATATTCTCCCCCCCTTCCCTCCGCGCCTCCTCTCCTGCGCGTCCCCCCCGCGGGCCGCCTTGCGGCCGCCTCCGAGGGCTCCGGCCGCGGCTGGAGGGCGAGGCCCCGTGGGAGCGATCCCCCGCTGGGCTGCTCTTCGGGCTCGCGGGCCTCTGCGACTGCTGGTCGCGCTTCCGCTCCAATCCGTCCCCGCCGACCTCCCAGCCCCGTCGGAGCCCCGCCGGAGGCCCCTCGACTCCCCACAGCTCGCTCGGGAGCCCGCTCGAGCCCCCACTTCGGGCCTCCCCCTCCCCGGCCGTGCCGGCGCGGCAGCGCGCGCGGGCGGAGGGAGGGGGACGACGGCGAGAACGAAGGTGGCGACGACGGCGGTGGCTTCAACGACGACGACGGCGACGACGACGGCGACGATGACGAGTGCGGCGACGACGACGACGACGACGACGACGACGACGACGACGACGACGGCGGAGGCGGCGGCGACGACGGCGACGGCTGCGGCGACGACGACGACGACAACGAAGACGACGACGGCGGAGGCGGCGGCGACGAAGATGATGTCGACGATGACGACGGCGGCGGCGACGACGACGACGGCGACAACGAACACAGCGATGGCAGCAAAGGCGATGACGACGACGGCGGCGACGAAGAGGACGACGCCGGCGACGACGGCGACGACGATGCGAAGACGGTAACAACGAAGTCGGCCACGGCGGCGGCGAGGACGACGAGGATGATGATCACGGCGGCGGCGACGACGAAGGCGACAACGAGGACGGCGACTGCGGCGACGACGACAACGACGATAACGGCGACGACGACGATGACGACGACGACGTCGAAGACGATGACGACGACGACGACGACGACGACGACGACGACGGCGGCGGCGACGGAGGCGGCGGCGGCGGCGACCACGACGACGGCGAGAACGACGACGACGGTGACAATGAAGCTAACAACGGCGGCGACGACGACGACAGCGACGACGACGATGCTGACGAGGACAGGACGACGGCGACGTCGGTGACAGCGACAACGGCGGCGACCACGACGGCGTTAACGACGGCGGCGACGACGACGAAGAGGGCAACAGCGAGGATGGCGACGGCGGCGGCGACGACGACGACGACGGCGATGGCGACGACGGCGGCGACGACGACGACGGCGACGACGACGATAACGACGACGGCGTCGACGACCGCGGCGGCGGTGGACGTCCACCCTGACAAGATTTGCACGTTTGCTAGTAGCCAGAGCCTTGCCAATAAGTTATCCAGACTCTCGGGAAAGATGGCGGGATATGTTAGCACGGGGATTGTTTTGTTAGGATATGATCTTGGTTCTGGCCGACGGCGAAGAGCCCGCCGTGCGCTCTGGAAGCGCAAGCAGCGTTTTAAGGGCATGCGCCGCCGCCACCGAGTCCTTCAGCGCTGCAGGCGGGCTTTCCCTCGGCAAAATGGCAGGAGTGGCAAAATATGCACGGCTGGAAATTCGCCAGCGGCCACTTTTGGCTCGCCGATCGTGGGGGTGAGTAACGTGGAACTTCGGGAGTCCACAACCCCCCTCGCCACAAAGGATGTTCCCTGCATGCCAACTTTGCCATCTTTGGAGACCCTATGTGGCGGCCTGCTGTTGCTCCTGTGCTTCAGTGGGCGGCGGTGGTGTGGACTGGACGGCTATAGCCAGCCCGTCCACCTCTTTCCATCATGTGCAAGACCTGTGCCGCATCTGGCGCCAGGTTCCGTTTGATAGCCACACCAGCTGGAGTAATTCTAGAGGCCCTACTCAAAAAGGATGCACCTGCGCCTCCATAGGAGTGGGTGGACGTCGACATCGGCGTTCACATTTCGAGATGGTTGCAACCGTGACGTATCCCTGGTCTATACTTCTCCTTCGATGTTGTCGTTGTGGCTGGACCTGGCTATTCAGAGATCACACGAGCGTGCGTTTGCCATGAGCACTCCTGTTTTTTTTATGGAGCCCGTGTTTGTGTTGAGCCCTTGAAGAAGCTTTTGGGTCCGAAGGGTAAGGGTCTTTTGCAAAGGGAAACGTATCTTGCTCTCACGATTTTCCGTGAAGGAGTCTGGGCGCGTGCGAGGGCACGCGGCTGTGGATACGACACCTCAGGAGATTGCCCGCTTTATGGTCTCCCTGACAATGTGCGGCACCGAGCTTGGAGGTGCCTACACCCTGGTGCTGTCCAGGCCCGATCTGAAGCGCTCGGAGAAAATGTCCTTGCTTGGTACGGCGAAGATCTAGATAGCGACGATTGGAAATTGTTCGACTAAGTAAAATGGGATCACACCGAAAATTCCCGCCCCCCCCCCCCTTCGAGCCACCCGAACCCCACCCTCTTCGACGCCGAGGGGAATGAGGTTCCGCGGCGATCGATCGACCTGCTGGGGCTTGATGTCTGTGTTGATGGTTCGGCGGCGCGGCACCCCATTATGGAACGCTCGAGGGCCTCTTACTCCTGGATCTTCTTGGGGCCCCAGGGAAATGATCGTGTCGCCTCGGCCCGAGGTGCTGTCCTCGACGTCCCCCCCCTACCCTCCCAAGCGGCGGAACATCAGGCCATGGTTCCCCTTCCTATGCTCCAGGACCACGGGGGGACCAGGCACGGGGATAGCATGACGGTTATCAAGCTGCGCAACTCTCCGACGGAGAACCACTGTTCGAGGAATCGCCGCTACGCTGGCCTGCGGCGTGGATCGCTACTGCACGAGCGAGGTCACCATCAGCCGACGGCTGTGCACACGCCAGCCCATCGAGCGCTGGCCACCATCGATACGTTGCCCGAGGCAGAGAAGAGAATCGGATTGGGAAACTGGCATGCAGATGCCCAGGCCAAGAGAACTCTCCTCGACCACCCCCAACCCTCTCGCTTAGAATGTTTGGATTTGAGTGCAACATAGACCCGCTTAAACCCATAGCGCGTTTAATGGGCAAGGTTATAATTGTTCCCCCCCCGGAAAAAATCGATCGTGTTTCGAGCTCCGGTCCGAGGGCCAAGTTTTTTAAATCGGGAGGTTGGCATGCGCGGCAGGACTTGGCCTATGGGCGAGCGCGCTGCCTCAGATATCTGACCCTCTCGAATGATAGTGCTTCGAGACCGATGCTGTCTCTCGGTCATTCCTTGGCCCACTGCAGTGTGATCCATGGCGCTGATGATCAATTGTTTGTTTTTTCATTGTACGGCATGCGGAGCATACGCGTCTCGAAGATGCCGCCTGCTGGGACGAGACTGCCAGCAACGCATGATTGCTGGAGGCGTGACCAGCTTGCGCAAGATTTGCGACGGTGTGTTGCATCACTCCCGCGATCAGGAAGCGGAGGTGACTGTGACTTTTCGGAGAGGGGTCTCCAATGTGTGCTACGCTGCCGCGCTTCCGCCACGTGAGGAGGTGACTTTGCGCCAAGTTGGGATGACAGGTCTCGTCCAGACTGATCGGGTGAAAGTTTTGAGCCTACGAGTTCAGGCGAAGGAGGAGGCGCAGAGGGCGTCCTCCACCACGGGCGCGTGGCGTGTTTGTGTAAACGGTTCGGCCCCGCGGGGACAAAACAAAGAAAGACAAACAAAACAAACAAAAACTAACAAAAACATGATCGACCCACGAACCCGGAAAAGGAATTTAGAAATGTAAACAATTGCAACATTTCAATAAACCTGATTGGGCGACGGGCACATGCAATGCTGACTGTATCGATGATGATGTACTGTGCCGACGGTTGTGCTGTGCTACGCTGCGCGGCACTGCGATGTGCCATGCCGCGATTGTGCTTTATATAGCGTTGTGGACCGAGTCCTCCCTGGCATCTGAGTCCTCACCGAACTGATCTGGATCGTAAGCTCGAGCTGCCTGAGCAGATGGTAGCTGCCCCAAAATTAATTGACAGAGGGAACATGCCAGGAGGACGCGCCGCGGAACGTCCCAAGGGACGCGCCAGGCGACGTGCCAGGGGACGTGCCATGGGGACGCACCGCGGGACGTGCCAAGGGGACGCGCTACGGAACGTGCCAATGGACGTGCCGAGGGACGTGCCAGGGGACGCGCCGCGGAATGTGCGAGGTGGACTCGCCACGGAACGCGCCAAGGAACGCGCCAAGGTGCATAGTTGAGTGTACCGATATTGGTGTACCGTGCCGACGGCTGTGCTGTGCTGGGCCGTGCTGAGCTGCGATGTGCCATGCCGCGAGGGTGCTCTATATAGCGTTGTGGATCGAGTCCTCCCTGGCATCCGAGTCCTCACCGAACTGATCTGGATCGTAAGCTCGAGCTGCCTGAGCAGATGGTAGCTGCCCCAGAACTAATTGACAGAGGGAGCATGCCAAGAAGACGCGCCGCGAGGGACGCGCCAGGCGACGTGCCAGGGGACGTGCCATGGGGACGCACCGCGGGACGTGCCAATGGGACGCGCTACGGAACGTGCCAATGGACGTGCACCGCGCGACGTGCCAGGTGGACTCGCCACGGGACGCTCCGCGGAACGCGCCAGGCAACATGCCAGGCTGCAATGCTAAGGGTATCGATATTGATGTACCGTGCCGAGGGCTGTGCTGTGCCTGGGCGACCTGGACACGTGAAAACACGCGTTTCGCTCAAGACGTTGTCAGCACATCCTCATGCTAGACATCCGCCTGGGCAACCTAGACACGTGCAAACAAGCGTCTCGCTCGAGACATCCTCAACAAATGCTCATGCTAGACATCCGCCTGGGCGACGTGGACACGTGAAAACAAGCCTCTGGTCCGAGACATCCTCAACAAATCCTCATGCTAGACATTTGCCTGGGCCACCTGGAGGCGTGAAACCAAGCGTCTCGCTCGAGACATCCTCAAGATCTGGGCACGTGAAAACAAGCAATCCACTTGAGAGATCCTCAGAATTCAGGTCCCCAGGAGCTATAACACAAAACAAGCGTCTCGCTCGAGACATCCTCAATCAATTCTGAAAATCAAGCGTTTCGCTCGAGACATCCTCAAATTTTAATTCGCAGGCCCTCTTCCCAATCGTTATTTATCGCAAAACAAGTCCGCCGGCCCTCTTCCCGTCAAAACCGAGGGGGAAACCTCTAAAAGAGAACCCTGGGCCTGAAGCCCTTTCCGGGAAAAACGACCACGGCGGCGACGGCGGCAGCGACGACGACGAAGATTCCGACGGCGACGACGGCGAAGACAACGACGACGAAGAGGGCAACGCCGGTAACGACGACGACGACGACGACGACGACGACGACGACGACGACGACGACGACGACGACGACGACGACCGCGTGGGCGACGACGATGACGACGACGACGACGACGATGACGACGGCGACGACGACGACGGCGACGACGACGAAGACGGCGATGGCGACGACGACGACGACGATGGTGACGACGACGACGAAGACGACAACGGTGATGGTGACGACGTTGACGACGAGGACGACGGCGACGATGACGACGTGACGACAGCGACAACGACGATGATGGCAACGACGACGACGAAGACGGCGACGGTGGTAACGACGGCGACGACGACGGCGGCGACGGTGACGGCGACGATGGTAACAACGACTACGGCGACGACGGCGACGGCGGCGACGACAACGACGGCGGCGGCGACCACGACGCGGCGGCCAGCAGCTCAGGACCCTGCCACGCTCCGGGCGCTTTGCGAGGCCGTGGTGCTGCCCAACGTGCAGCTTGGCCGGGAGGACCTCGAGCTCTTCTCGGAGGACGCGGCGCTGCGGTCGGCCGGCTCGGGCGACCGCTGCCGGCGTCGGCCGTTCCTGCGCGGCACGGGGAGTCGCAGTTCGCCATGCAGTGCCCCGAGTTGTTTGCGCACGGGGTGAGATTCGGGCCTGCCGCTTTCGCGCCGGAGTGCCCCCAGATGGCATTCGACTCGGGACGTCGGGGATCACCGTCTGCCCCAACCAGACAGCAGGGCCCTACCCAGACGAGGTCTATCCCAGATACGTCTGGTGCGCAAAGGGAAAGGGGGTATGAGGGAAACGGGTCCTGGCACGTTTCGCCGTGTTCCAGCTCCTTCCCAGGTCCCGGGGACGCAAGGCTGGTCCCCATGAAAGCTCCAGGGGTCCAGGCTCAGGAGCCGCTTCCTTCAACCAAGCAGCACGCAGCGGGGCCGGGAGGCAGGGAGCACGGTCTGGCGGACTGCAAGGAGGATGTGTCGGGCGCTGCGGCGGTCGCAGTGGGGACGGGACAGGGGTGCCGAAAAGGACAGGCGCTCGCAGTATGAGTGAGAGACGGCGGGGGTGCTCGATCTCTGCCACGCGCAGAGGGGGGGTGGGGGAGGGGGGAGGGCTTCTTAGAAGCACCCATGCTTCTTAGAAGGCGCTGGCCTTCTCTATAGACGTCGGGCTGGGGCCTTCTAAGGAGCAGCCTCCTTCTAAGAAGCCCTCCCCCCCTCCCTCCACCCCCTTTGTTCGCACCGCCAGAGATCAGGACCAGACCTGGGCCGAAATTGGATGGGATGGGGGATCGGGGTGACGGGGTGACGGTTATATGGCAGACCTAGCGGTAAGCGAGGACGGGCACCAAGTTAAGAGTTGGTCAAGATAGGAGTTTGATCCCGCACACCTCCACGGTAGTATGCGGATGAGGACGGGCTTCGGGGCGGGAAAGTGTGTTGCAGCATCGTTGTCGCGTTTTGTATATATTATGGTCCCCCTCTTCTGTCTTGCCGCTTCTTCTCTCTTAACTGCCGCCAGCCGCCGTGAAATTCTTGACGCTCCGCATATCCCCACCAGCTCCTTAGCCTCTGGCTCAAGTAGCAACCTTAGCTCAATACTTTGGGGCAACTAGGCACCCCTCGTCGCCGCGACCCCCGTTCCTCGCCCCAGGGGCGCCCTCAGAAGGTGGACGCAGTGGCAATGGCGAACGTCGTGGCTGGCAAGCTCCAGAACGTCGGCGAGCAGCTGCCGCGGCCGGTGCCGGCGCTGGCATGGGCGGAGGCGCCGGCGCCGAGGGCGCCCTCGAAGCCCAGGAGCTACAGCGAGCGCCCCGCCGCGGTCAGGTGGCTCCGCCACGCCGTGCGCAAGCCGTGCGGCGGCCGCCCCCACAGCATCCGCAGGCCTTGCGGGCTGCGAGCGGCGGGGCCTCCGGCCTCGCTGGCCCTCTGCGAGAGCTCCGCCGCTGGAGCGAAGCCTCTCCTGCCACACGGCGCGGCGGGCCCGCGGCCCGCCTCGCCGCCCGAGCTGCCCGGGGCTGGGCCGGCCGGCAGCGAGGCGGCGTGCGACCGGACGAGCGGCGATATATATATATATATATATATATATATATATATATATATATATAGTGATATAATATATATATATATATACATATACGGCTCCCTGGGGCCGGCCTCGCCGCCGGCGAGGACGAGTGGGCCCCCCGCAGTTGCGGGCTGCCTTGGCTGCGGCACTCAGGAGCTCCGACCTCGTTGCCTCTCGGCGAGCTCCGCCTGGGCTGCCGCGCCTCAGGCCGGTTCGCGAGCGAGCCGCGCACCCTCGGCGACCTTCCCGAGCTGCAGGGCTCTGGCGCGGAGGTCAGGACCGGCCTGGGCTCCCGCGCCTCGGGCCGGCGCGTGGGCGAGCCGCACACCTTCGGCGACCTTCCCGAGCTGCAGGGCTCTGGCGCGGCAGACGGGGCTCGCCCGGGCGGCCGCGCCTCGGGCCGGCGCGTGGGCGCTTCGCGCACGCCGCCCGAGCTGGGCCCCCTGCTGCCGGCCGGCCGCGACGCAGCCGCCAGCCCGTCCGTGGGGCCTCCGTGGGCCTCCGCTGCGCCCGGGCGGGTCTGCAGCGCCGTGGGGATCCACCCTGGGCCGCGCCAGTTCCGCAGCGAGCCCGCGGGGCCTCCGCGCCCGCGCGGGGAGCGGCCCGCCGACGCCCGGAGGCCGCCGTCGGCGAGGGGCGGCGGGCGCCCGCGCTCCGCGCTCAGCTGAGGCCCGGCCTCGGCGGTGGCCGGGGCGGCGCGGGGCAGGGCGAGGCAGCGGGGGGCCGCGCCGCGGGCGTCTGCCCGCGCGGGCGCCGCGGCGGGCGAGCGGCGGAGGCGGCCAGTGCCGCAGGCGAGTTCAGAGGCTGCCGGCGGGGCTCCGGGTCTGCCCGAGGGAGGCCTCGGCGCGGGCCGTGCGCGCGCGGAGGCTTCGCCCTGCCCCCTAATTATGGGAGAGGCCGCCTCGGCTGCGGCTGCTCTGCTGTCGAGGGGGCCGCCTCTTGGCTTTTGTGTTGGGGGGCGCCCTGGCAATCGCGCCACGCGCGCGCGTCCTGGCATTTTTTGAGTGAGGCCTCCCACTTTGTCGCCGCTTTGCTTTTGGTCAGGGGCGGCGCCCAGGTAATCACACCAAGCGTGCGCGTCCTGACAAGTAACATGTCGCATTCGAGCAATGCGCGCGCGACATTTACAATGCATTTCGCATTCGAGCAAGGTGCTAATATCTGTCTCGCTCTCTCTCTCTCTCTAATTATCTATCTCTCTTGCTGTCTCTTTTTTTTTTTTCTCTCTCTCTCTCTCTCTCCCTCTCTTTCTCGCTCTCTCTCTCTCTCTTTCCTCTCTGTCTCTATCTCTCTCCTTTGATGCTCGGCTACTCCGAGCCTTAAGCTGTGAAACTGGCTTTTAACTGTAGCCATTGCAAGTCCAGGACTCGCTTGGCATAACAAGGGTTTCCATCGACTGGCAGCGACTGTCGCATGATCTCAGCCGATGAACCACCGTCTCAGCTAGTATATTTGTCCCTCGACACGGTCTGTGTTTAGATGTGTCTTGAGGGAAGTTGGACATCAGCTTCCATGCCATTCCTTCCTACCTGCGGTGACACAGCTTGCGTCGCCGGCAAACTCTGTGTTCGAATGATGTTCCTGACGCTCTGACGTTGTTTCCCCTTTCCAGTGCTCGGGCATTTTTGAGCGGCCATTGACGTGCCAGCCCGTGCTTTGGGCCGTCGGTCGCGGTTTTCTCGAGACATCCTGAGTCGTTCTTCGACGGTCCCAGGGCCAATCGAGGGCCCTTGGTTCTGTACTTTTCACGACGCGAGCATGTCTAAGTTTTCTCGAGAGCGAGGGAGGCGGTGGCCGAGCGTTCGGCGGCTCCACGGAGCCGCCGCCCCCCAGAGCCGCAGGCACCTGCGACACTGCGGACGGCCCGTGGCTCTTGCTCTGTACACGCGCCCGCTGGCGGCGACCCGGTCAGTGTGCAGGTGGCGCGTGCGTTGGAAAAGCCAAACAACAAAATGGTTCACGGCGTGGAGCTCCCCATACGTGCATCTATTCGCATGGACCTGTCCGCCGTGAATGTCTGGGCGCCAGAATTTTTTCGAACATAGACGGGCTCCAGTTGCGACGGTCTGGTCATGAATCGACTTGCGAATACATTGGAGTGTGAATGAGCCTCAGTAGTACGAGCGCGTCTCTGCGCATGAGCCTGGGGCCTCCTAGGGCCTCCTGAAACCTACTGGGGCTTTCTGGGGCCTCAAGGAGCCTCTTGGGGCCTCCTGGGGGCCTCCTGAGACCTCCTCGGGAGGATTCGTGCCCCAGGAGAGGCCCAATCTACAGCAACAAACGTACATACGACATTGCGGATTGGAGCCACAGGAGAAGGGCAATCTATAGGAACACGCGTAAAACACCAAGGACTCGTGCCCCAAGAGAGGCCCCAAATGTAGGAACATAAGTCAAGCATTCAGGATTGTGTACACAGGAGAAGGACAGTCCATAGAAACATACGTATAACAGCAAGGATTCGTGCTCCATGTGAGGCACAATATATAGGAGCATACGTAAGACCTGTGAGATTAGAGCCATTCCTGTTCCCTTCTGAAGCCTCCTGCTCCTGGGGCCTCTCGGGGCCCCCTGTTGCCTCCCGAGGCCTCCTGGCGCTTCCTGTGGCCTCCTGGGGCCTCTTGTGGCTTCCTGAGGCCTCCTGGAGCTTCCTGGGGCTTCCTGGAGCCTCTTGGGGCATCCTGTGGCCTCTTGAGTCTTTTTGTGGCCCCCTAATGCCTCCTGGGACATCGTGTGGCCTCCTGGGGCCTCCTGGAGCCTGTTGGAGCCTCCTGTGGCATCCTGCGGAGAATATGTGCCCACGAGTCTGGCCACCAAAGCAGGCAGACCGATCGAGACATCCTCAACATCTTGCCTACCTGAGGGGTGAAAATGAGCGCCTCGCTCGAAACGTCCTCCAAATCTGCTCCGAAAGCTGAGGATGTAGGAGACATTTCCACAAAACTGCCTCGATCGGGACCGTGCAATACCACTCGGCGGCCCCCCTTCGGGGTGCTGAAACCAGCGCCTCGCCTGCGACATCCTCACAGTCTGATCTCCAAGCGAAGGATGTTGGGACAGAAAACCGGCAAACCGCTTGAGTCATCCCCACGAAACGGCCGCGAACGGGACCGTGCAATACCCATCGGCGGCTCCCCTCAGGGGTGCTGAAGCCCGCGCCCCATCTGAGACATCCTCTCAATCTGCTGTGTGTTGAGTAAGTCAGACAATGATAATGCCTGAGTGTGAGTAAGTCTGGGTATGAGTGAGTCTCAGCATGAGTAAGTCTGAGTATGGGTAGGATTCAGCATGAGTAGGTCTGAGTACGAGTAGGCTAATCTGATCAGGTCTGAGTATGGGTAAATATGTGTATGAATAAGTTTGTGTATGAGTAAGTCTAGGTATGAGGAGGAGGAGGAGGAGGAGGAGGAGGAGGAGGAGGAAAAGGAGGAGTAGGAGGCATCCAAGTAATCAGAATAGCCCCATCTCAGGATATGGGGAAAAAGCGTTTTCGGTGAATCCCTTCGCTTTCTGTAGATAGGCTCCGCAGGTGGGGCACTTCCGCACTGCGTCGGCCTGTCACCGTCTTCCCCCGCCGCCCCAGCCTTGCGCATGAGGTCGCCGGTCAGGAGGAAAAGACACACACACACAGACACAATTAATCCTCGATTCCCCAGAAAATATTGGAAACTATGGGAAATGGGGGGGAAGACAAAAACCCAGAACATATGGGTAAATATGGGGAGTAGTTTTATTTGTGTGTATTTATCTGTGTGTCCTGGGGCCCCTTCAGTTGGGCCCCCACCCGACCCTGGACGCTGGGTTGCAGGCCGTTCTCTCCTCGCGGCCAACCTGGGCGCCACTGAGGTTCGCCTGCTTGCCCCTTCCAGTTCGGGGAGCCCCTGGGCTCCCGGGCCTGCGACACGCCTGGGGTCCGCTGCCTCTGCCCGCACGGGGTCGGGCTGCGACCTTCTTCCGCTGGTTCCCCGCCTCCGCTGCTCTTGTGCCGCCCAGGCGATGGCTTCTCCCGCCCCCCCCCGCCGCGGTGGCGCTCCCGCCGCTTCCACGCCCCTGCCTTTGGCGATTCGGGGCCTCTCCGTTGGGCGCCTGCACGCCCTGTTCGTCGTCCTCTTCGGCTGCGCCACGGTGGTCTTCGAGTTCGTCGGCTTCCTGCTCTTCGCCATGTCGGAGCTGCGCGTGGACCTGTGGCTCTTCCTGGTCTTCCGCGTGTCCCGAGCCGCAGCTTAGCCCGTTCTTGTGCGCTCCAGTGCGTAACTTAGGCCGTTGCATCGACGTTTCGTTCCGACGGCGCCCGGCGTCTTCCGGCGCATTGGCGATCAAAAAGTGTCCCCACCAGCCCGCCTTCCTCTTCCCGCGCGCTAATTTGGGCCGTCGCCTCTGCGCTTCGCCCCGTGACGCCGCCCGATCTCTCGCCGCGGTTGCGATCAACGAGATCGTCACCGACCCATTCAGAAGCAGTTTGCCAGGCGAGTTGAAGCGTCGTTGTGATGGGTTCTCGGGGGTCTCTAGGAACCACCTTGGGGTTTTCTGGAGGTCCTCCTGGGGCCCTCTCGGGGCCCTCATGGGCCCCTCCTGGAGCTTCTTCGGGGGCCATATGGGGACTCTATTTGGGCTCCTTGGGGCGGGTCTGAGAGCTCTCTTGAATGACCCTCGTAGCTCAAAAAGGGAGGGGGTCCTCAATTCAGGCCTCCCCCACTCGGAGGCTCCATGGCTGTCTCTTGGGTCATTCTTGGGGCGCCCTTGGGGTGTTATCGGGCCGTCTTGGGGTCATTTTGAGGCCTCGGAAGCCCACTGGAAACGAAAAAAGGCCAGAACGCAACAATCATGGATTTCCCAAAAGGTGTTGGAACCATTTTGGCTTCGTGGGGGGGGTCCTGAGAGGGCTCGGAGGGCACTTGAAACCATCTTGGGGTCGTCTTGGGTCGTTTTCGATGCATGCGGGGGGGCTATCTGGAGCCATTTTCAGTTCTCTTGAGCCTCTTGGAGGCCATCTTGGGTTCTCAGAGGCGGAGCCAACTTGGGCGCCCTAGTGCCTCGCGCCCCCCCCCCTCCCAGGCCCATGGGAGGGGGTATGGGGGAGGGTGAACCCCTCCCCGAGCAAGGTGGGTGGGGGTGGCAGGGGGGGGGGGGGACACAAGTTCGTTAAACCACCTGCGCCCAGGGGGCTGGTGGGATGCTGCACGCTACAGTCAACCCGCACAGTAAGGATGGGCAGCCTTCTCAATGGGTACCCTTGCATCCCTGCCTCCTCGGTCCATATTCGGCCCATTCCGTTGGCCGCGCCCCACTCGGACAACTTCGACATGGGCCCCCGTGGCCCTTGCATCCTTTGATCGCGCATCCTTACTATACTGGTTGATTGTATCCCCGCCGACAGTCATGAGAAGCCAGGGAGTGCGCGCCGCGGTGGCGAAGGCAACAAGGGCAACAACGACGGCAGCGGCGGCGGTGACGGCGAAGGCCCCTCCTGCACAGCGTGGATCTGTGCATTGCCACCGGGGGCTGGCAACGGCCATCTTGGGCTTCGAGGCAATGCTGGCCTCGGCCAGGAGAGCGCGTACACTCAGTATCCTTCGAAACGATCCCCATCCCCATCCCCATCCCCATCCCTTTTCGAGACCCCCACCAAATTACCACCCCAGTTGGGGACACACCCATGGAAGCCCGAAGGCAAAAGTCTATACCCCCATCCACGGAGGTCCAGACCACGCCGCTGGGGATGGGGAGCGGTTCGACGATACTCATGCACGATGCTGGTGCTCAGTATGGCCTTGGTTTTGCAAGGTCTTGGCATCGCTCGGACGTGTGCGTTTTTCCTTCGACGATGACCATCGAGGAGCATCCTTGATCATTTGGCGAAAACTCCATGCACGAACCCGGAAATGGATATAGACATGTGCAGCATGGTCACGTTTTCACGATACCCAACTGGGCGACACCTCACGAAACATCCCACGAGACACCCCGCGAAACATCCCACGAGACACCTCACGAAACATTCCACAAGACACCTCACGAACCATTCCACGAGACACCCCGTGAAACATTTCACGAGACACCCCACGAACAGGCAACCACTCAACCATACACCCCACGAAACATTCCACGGGGGTGTGGTCGTGCTGGGGAGTGGTCGTGCTGGGGTGTGGTCGTGCTGGGGGGTGGTCGTGCTGGGAGGTGGTCGTGCTGGAGGGGTGGTCGTGCTGGGGGGTGGTCGTGCTGGGGCGTGGTCGTGCTGGGGCGTGGTCGGTCGTGGTCGTGCTGGGGTGTGGTCGTGCTGGGGTGTGGTCGTGCTGGGGTGTGGTCGTGCTGGGGTGGTGGTCGTGCTGGGGGGTGGTCGTGCTGGGGCGTGGTCGTGCTGGGGCGTGGTCGTGCTGGGGCGTGGTCGTGCTGGGGTGTGGTCGTGCTGTGGTGAGGTCGTGCTGGGGTGTGGTCGTGCTGGGGTGTGGTCGTGCTGGGGTGTGGTCGTGCTGGGGTGGTCCGCACCCTGTGATTTATCGATCGGGTCGTGCTGGGGTGTGGTCGTGCTGGGGTGTGGTCGTGCTGGGGTGGGGTCGTGCTCGTGCTGGGGTGTGGTCGTGCTGGGGCGTGGTCGTGCTGGGGCGTGGTCGTGCTGGGGCGTGGTCGTGCTGGGGTGTGGTCGTGCTGAGGTGGCCCGCACCCTGTGATTCATCGATCGGGATTTCAAAAACAAGCGTTTCGCCTGAGACATCGTCAAATTTTAATCCGCCGGCCTCCTTCGACCTCGATATTTATCAGGGAAAGAATCCGCCGGCCTCCTTCAAGTTGGGCACGGGGACATTGTTTATATACTAAAAGAGAGCCCTGGGCCTTTGCCCTTTCCGGGAAAAAAAAGGGAATGGACGTCCGAGCGATGGCGGCTCGGATCGGAAGAAAACGTAGTCGACTGTGCGGACCTTCGCGCGTATTATTCCGCGCGTGGTCGTGCGTGGGCGCCCGTCTTCTCCACGCGGTGTGCCACGCCGACGGCCCGCGTCAACCGCGGTGTGAGGTCGCTATGTCTTCTCGCGTCAGGCCTGTTTCCTTTGACTTGGCATCGCTCGGACGTGTGCCTATTTCCTTCGGCGAGGACCATCGAGGAGCATCCTTGATCACTTGGCGAAAAAACCACTCACGAAACCGAAAAACACACACACAGGGAATGGACGTCCGAGCGATGGCCAGTTGACGCCCAGATGCTGTGCACCATCTCTTGCCCACCTCCGCTCCTCGTCCGCTACCCTCTCGGCCCGGGCGTTGGCGTGGACGTTCTCGTACTCTTCTGACTGCGAGAGGGGAGAACATCTGTCGTCTCCGACTGGTTGGGTTGGCTATCTGCTCCTTCCCCGCCGTTCACGGGTGATCCGTGGTCGAGCGACGCAGAAAATGGGGGTCGTCTGCACTGCTATCGGCGAGGAACGTTCCCGCGTAAAGTTAGACTCGGCGCCTTCGTCTCCAATGTGGCGCGTGCCGCACTGGCGGCCCGCGCAAGCCACCGCGTAGGGTTGCGTCGTCTTCTCGCGTGAGACCCGCCTCGTTTTGTCGCCGGGATGCCGTCTGCGCACCCCCCACCGCGTCAAGCCGCGGCGTGGGGCCGCTGTGCCTTCTCGCGCAGGACCCGCTTCCCTGCGTCGCTCCGCTGCCGTCTGCGCAACCTTCTCGTCGCCCCGCTGCCTTCTGCGCACCTCCCCAGACCCCCGACGTCATGATCTTTTCACGGCGTTGATCCCCCGAGGTCTCGACCCATCTCCGGGGGCCGGCTTTTCACCCTGAGCGGATTCTCGAAGGTTCCGAGGCCCAGTGAGGGCCCCCAGAGGCCGAAAACATCGGGAGCAAGAAGCAAAGTCCTGTCGTGATCCCATCCCGCTTCGAGGGGGGGCCTGGGCCCGCAGGAGCCCGAGGAGTTCCTGCGCCGGGACCTCGAGGGCGCCGACCGGGACAGCCCCCGCCGCGCGTCCGTGGACCTGGTGCGGGCCTTGCGGAGGCGCAGCGGCCGCCGCCCCGCCCTGGGCGCAGGAAGCGCTGTTTCGGCGGCCTTTGGCCGCGCGGGGCCTCCCTCGCAGACCTCCTCGAGGCATGCAGAGATGACGACGGGAGGTTTTTGGCTGTCTTCGGCCTCTGGGGGTCCTTGCTGGGCCTTGGGGCCGTCGAGGATCGGCTCGGGCGGAAGAGAGCATGCAAGATTCCACGACGGGAGGTTTTTGACTGTCTTCGGCCTTTTGGGGGCCCTTGCTGGGCCTCGGGGCCGTCGAGGATCGACTCGGGAGGAAGAGAGCATGCAAGATTTCACGACAGGAGATGTTTGGCTGTCTTCGGCCTCTGGGGGCCCTTGCTGGGCCTGTGGGCCGTCGAGGATCGACTCGGGAGGAAGAGAGCATGCAAGATTTCACGACGGGAGGTTTTTGGCTGTCTTCGGCCTCTGTGGGCCATTGCTGGGCCTCGGGGCCGTCGGGGATCGACTCGGGAGGAAGAGAGCATGCAAGATTCCACGACGGGAGGTTTTTGGCTGCCTTCGGCGTCTGTGGGCCATTGCTCGGCCTCGGGGCCGTCGAGGATCGACTCGGGAGGAAGAGCGCATGCAAGCTTTCACGACGGGAAGTTTGTGGCTGTCTTCGGTGGGGGCCCTCGCTGGGCCTCGGGGCCGTCGAGGATCGACTCGGGAGGAAGAGAGCATGCAAGGTTCCACGACGGGAGTCTGTTGATTGTCGTCGGCCTCTGGGTGCCCTTGCTGGGCCTCGGGGCCGTCGAGGATTGACTCGGGAGGAAGAGAGCATGCAAGATTCCACGACGGGAGGTGTTTGGCTGCCTTCGGCCTCTGGGGGCCCTTGCTGGGCCTCGGGGCCGTCGAGGATCAATTCGGGAGGACGAGAGCATGCAAGGTTCCACGACGGGAGATTTTTGGCTGTCTTCGGCCTCTGGGGGCCCTCGCTGGGCCTCGGGGCCGTCGAGGATCGACTCGGGAGGACGAGAGCATGCAAGATTTCACGATGGGAGGTTTTTGACTGTCTTCGGCCTCTATGGGCCCTTGCTGGGCCTCGGGGCCGTCGAGGATCGACTCGGGTGGAAGAGAGCATGCAAGGTTCCACGACGGGAGGTTTTTGGCTGTCGTCGGCCTCTGGGGGCCCTTGCTGGGCCTTGGGGCCGTCGAGGATCGACTCGGGAGGAAGAGCGCATGCAAGCTTTCACGACAGGAGGTGTTTGGCTGCCTTCGGCCTCTGGGGGCCCTTGCTGGGCCTCGGGGCCGTCGAGGATTGATTCGGGCGGAAGAGAGCATGCAAGGTTCCACGACGGCACGTTTTTTTGGTTGCCTTCGGCCTCTGGGGGCCCTTGCTGGGCCTCGGGGCCGTCGAGGATCGACTCGGTAGGAAGAGAGCATGCAAGATTCCACGACTGGAGTCTGTTGATTGTCTTCGGCCTTTGGGGGCCCTCGCTGGGCCTCGGGGCCGTCGAGGATCGACTCGGTAGGAAGAGAGCATGCAAGATTCCACGACGGGAGTCTGTTGGCTGTCGTCGGCCTCTGGGGGCCCTTGCTGGGCCTCGGGGCCGTCGAGGATCGACTCGGGAGGAAGAGAGCCGGTCCCAGGGAAGGGGTCGAGATCTCTGGGGGCTGACGTGATGAAGATGTCATGACGTCGGGGGTCTGGGCATTGGTTCCGACCAGCAGGGAGGGTGGCGAGGTTGGAGTTCCTGGATCCCTCGCGGGGTCATCGCCGCCCTTGCTGTCCTGGGCCCGAGATGCGGTCCGCGCAAGGTCGGCCTCCGGGTCGGAGCCGGCTGGGGGTATCTCAAGCAGTGGCGAAGCGACCTGGCTTGGGAAGCATGTTCTTATTCATTGTTTGCCGATCGGCGCGGGCCCTCGCACCCCCTCCGTCCCCCTTGAATTAGATCTTGGCTGTTTTCGGCGCGCGTCGAGCAGGTAGAGTTTCCCTCATATGACGCACTGTTGCAGACAGTCGCACTAAGCAAAGGTCTGGAGCCAGACTCCCTTTTCCCCCCCCTTCGCCCAATTTCGAAACGCCGAATAAGAAGACAATCACTTCCCTATCTGCTCACCGAAGACTTGTCTGAGAGTCTCTGTGCCTGTAGACCCACTATATGATATCGGGGTATGGGGAGCGGCCTAGAGGGACGCGATGGCAAGGGGGTGTGCAGCCGTATGGGGGTATGAGGTGGCCTAGCTCTGGGTCTGGCCAGCAGGCTGGGCGGGCAGGTTCAAGGGTCTGGGTTCGGGAGGGTTTGCTGCCTGGTTCGGTCTGTGAAAACTGGATCTGGGGTGAACATCTGCACTAGATGGACCCTAGGGGTCCAGGGAACGATTTTGAGCGGATTGGGCTTCATACCCCCTCCTGGCCAATCCTCGGGGGCCCCAACCAGTTCAGACCCCCAGGCCGCCTCCGAGTCCAAACCTGGCCTCCAGGCATCCTTTGGCCTCCTGGTACCTCTCGGCGAGTGGGCCGTGTACGTACTGTTTTTCACGCTCAACGGTATGTGCGTGTATGTTTGTATGTATGTGTGTGCGCGTGTGTGTATGTGCGTGTGTGTGCGTGCGTGCGTGCGTGCGTGCGTGCGTGCGTGCGTGTGTGCGTGCGTGCGTGCGTGCGTGCGTGCGTGCGTGCGTGCGTGCGTGCGTGCGTGTGTGTGTGTGTGTGTGTGTGTGTGTGTGTGTGTGTGTGTGTGTGTGTGTGTGTGTGTGTGTGTGTGTGTGTGTGTGCGTATCTCAGTGCGTGCGCGCGTGTGTGTGTGTGTGCGTGGATGTTTCCAGGTTTGGCCTGTCTTATAACTCGCTGCGTCGGATCAGCAGGCCGGGCAGCAAAACGTGTACAGTCGGGGCCCTGAAGAAGGAACCTTTTTCGTTGAGGAGGGGCTCCGTGTTCCTTGATTGTTCTGCAGTGCTCCTTGGGTTTTCCTGAGGTTTTCCATGGGAACTCGAAGTTCAATTTATGGTTGAAAGGGGCCCCGTTCCTTATTTAGGGTTCCTTAGGTCAACGCCCCGCCTGTATGGTTGTTCGGGTGCGGCTTGGAAGGTGCACCCCTGCCTGGTTTCCATCGACTGTTGGCGCACTGCTGCGGAGGAGGAAGGGCCGGGGTTGCTGAAGGTGCCCCTGGCCCAAGATGCCCCCAGCTTGTCGCTCCATTTTGGAGGCCCTGGGGCCCTCCTGGCCGCGTGAGGGGTGCTCTGGAGGCCGCGAGGGCCGCCTCGGAAATCCTGGGGCCCCTTTTGCCAGGGACACTTCTAGCAAACCCCGAGGAGCAGTGTCGCACGGCGCCTTCGTCGGTGTCAGCTTCCGTCGGGCATGTTCCTCTACAGGAGGAATATCCCAGAACAGTATACCACAGTATGGGTTCGATGATTCTTGCTCGTTGGATTGTTGCTTCGTTTTATGTTGACGATGTTGTATCTTGCTTCCGACGTTCGCCTGAAGGAGAACATGCCCGACCTAAGTGCAGGCTCGTCGGATGAGGCTGGCCGATGGCAGACCCCGTAGCACCCTTTACTGCGCCGGGTAACGCGGGCTACCCCACGACGCTAGCAGATTTGCATCGTGTGCCGTCTTGTGCGATCCTGGCTGGTTTGGGGCAGCCCCTGTGGCCTCGTTGCCAGATCGAGCAATCCTGCCTGCGGGTTCCTCTCTGGGCGAAGGCACTACGACGCGAAGGTGTGCGAACTCATCGTGGCATACGTGTCGCGCCTCTTGGAGCAGGCCCTGAGGGGGGGGAGGAGGAGGAGGAGGAGGAGGAGGAGGAGGAGGAGGAGGAGGAGGAGGAGGAGGAGGAGGAGGAGGAGAGGAAGAGAGAAAAGAGAGAGAGAGAGAGAGACAGAGCGACAGGCGCAGGAAGAGAGGGAAAGAGAGAGAGAGAGAGACAATGAAAGAGGGGCAGAGAGGGAGGGCGAGAGAGGAGGGAGGAACCAGCGAGAGAGAAAGAGAGAGAGAGAGAGAGAAAGACACAGCAGCGAGGCGAGGTGCACCGCGCGCTCGGAGCGTGCCCTGCGGGAGCTCTGCGCACGGCACCGCCGGAGCCGACGGCGGCCCGCCGCACGGCAGCGGGAGGGGGCGCCCCGCGGGCCTCCGGCGGCGGAGCGCCGAGGCGGTCGCCCCGGCGCGCGCGCTCGCGGGGCGGCGCGGCCCCCGACGCCTTGGGTGAAGTTGGGCCTGTCCCCCTACAGGGGGATTTTCGAGGAAAAATAAACAGACATACCCCAAACATAGTCAGAACATGCTCCAAGCATAGTCTGGGGACTACCTTTTGAGTACTTTTTTTCTACCTTTTTGGTGCATTTTTGTTTTTTTTGTTTTTCGTCGGAGGTCCTTAGTGGGCCCTGGAAACGACAGGGCCGTTTTTTTACCGGTTCCGTTCTGCCGTTTTTGTTTGCCGGTTCCGACGCCGTTTTTTTACCGGTTCCGTCTCGCCGTTTTTGGACCGGTTCCGGCTCTGGTTCCAATCCTGGAGCCGGTTGTTTGCCGTTTCCGGTCGCCGCTTCAGTAAGTGAGGCGTTCAGTGCTCCGCTCCAAGCGCACAAGCGCTCAAGAGTGAAGCAGCAATCGTCTCGACAGGAGCCGGCCTTCGTGGCTGGACGTGACATGAGCATGGTGTGGTGACGTTGACCAGGTCGGCCACCCGTGGAATCAACAGGTTATCTCTTCAGTTTGTCTTGGGTTTCCCTTGGGCTTCCCATGGGAAGTCGAAGTGCAGAGTGTGGAACGGATCAGGAGGGGACAAAACACACAGACACAATGAATCGCCGATCCCCCAGAAAATATGGGAAGATATGGGAAGTGGGGGGGGAGACAGAAACCCAGAAAAATGATGGGAAAGTATGGGGAATCTTTTTATTTGTGTGTATTTATTTGTGTGTCCCAGGGCCCCTTCAGTGAAGTCGGGCCTGTCCCCCTACAGGGGGGATTTTCAGCGAAAAAAAGAAAATACTCCAAAATAGTCCAACAATACTCCAAAAATAATCTGGGGACTATCTTTTGATATTTTTTTGACCTTTTGGGGGCATTTTTTTTTTTCGTCGAAGGTCCCCCTGTAGGGGGACACGCCCGACATAAGCCTTGGGCAGCAAATCGAAGAAGAGAAAGCCACGTAAACATAAACTTTGGGCGCTCCGCGCGGCTTCCTCGGATCCGCGCCGGGGCCCCCCGGCGGCGCCTCCGGCGCCGCCCCTGGCGCGCTCCGCGATCCAGCGCGGATCCGAGAAATCCGCGCGGAGCGCCAAAAGTGTATGTTTATGTTTTTTTGTTTCTTCTTCTTCTACCTTGGGCATCAAAGCACGGGAGCATTTTACAGTCGAGGCTGATTGGTGGGTCGGCCCTGCCAAATCCAGGGTATCCTTGTGTCCTATGTTTTGCGACCCGTGCCTTCTGCGTTCCTAATTATGGCAGTGTGGCCGTCGGAGGGGTCTTGTGTCCTCTCGCGTGTCCTCTCCAATCAACCCCGACTGTATGTCCTCGTAACTGCGTCTCTGGGGTGCAATCGCGTTCGCTAGAGTCTGGTAGTCGATGAGAGAGCCCGCGGGAGCGCACGACGACGACGACGACGACGACGACGACGACGGCGACGGCGACGGCGACGGCGACGACGGCGACGGCGACGGCGACGGCGACGGCGACGACGGCGACGGCGACGACGACGACCACGACGACGAGTTCTGAGACTATGAATTTCTTAACCCATGATTTCTTAAGCATTTCGCAGGGTGCACAGGCACAGTCGCAGAGATCCAGCGCATTGAAAAAGTCAAAGCGGAGGTTTTTCGCCGTTTGAGCTTGTTTTTTTGTTGGATTCAGGCAAGTTTACTTGCATGGCGTTCGCCCCCCCCCCCCCCCCCCTCTCTCGCCCCTCTTCAAGCGAACCAGCGTGCAAGTGCCTTTCGACTTGCGTGATTTCCGCGCCCCCCCCCCCCCGGGCTTGCTTCAGGCTCAGCCCCCCCACCCCCCCGTCCATGCAAGTAAACTTGCCAGAGTCTAAAAAAAACAGGCTCCAGGCACAGTCCCAGAGACCCAGCGCATTGAGAAAGTCAGAGCAGAGGTTTTTCGCCGTTTTCGGCCTCCAGAGGCGCTCGCCGGGCCTCGGGGCCGTCAAAAGACGGCCCGGGACGAAAACCTGGCCTTGGGGAGTGTGTCGAGACTTCCAGGGACCCCGAGTGAAGAACTCACGACATCGGATCTCTGGAATCAATCGTCGATTCCCCGGAAAATAGGAGAGAATATGGGAAGCGTTGGGGAAGGTGAAGCTCCAGAACATGTGGCAAAATGATGGGAGTCCTGGGATTTGTGCGTGTTTATTTGTGTGTCCCTGGGTTCCTTACTTTCTGCGCGGCAGCACGAACAAAAAGCGCCCCGGGCCCCAGGCTCGGATCGTGAGGATGTGCGGTCGAAGGGCAAGGAGCGGCATGAGCATAAATTGTTGGCGGACCGTCGAACGTTTTAAGGTTATGCTGTCTTCTGTCCCTCCATGCGAGGACTCGTTGGCAATGCTCGAAGAAAAGGAAGAATAATAATCATAACAGGAGCTGACATACATATAAATGTTGGCATGTCCGCGCGGAGTGCTTGGATCGGCGTTGGGTCTCCCCTCCCCAGCGAAGGAGTCCGCGTTGACCTCCGAAACTTTCTGTATATGCAGTTGTTTTTTCTTTCTGATGCGTAGCATCGGCTCCTGTCGCTGGACCCCACCTTTCTGCATTTTTCGAGCCTGATCGATCTGTGATGGTTCCAGGGCTCGAAGCCAGGCGACCACGACCAGTGCGATAAAAAATGCGACGCTGGGCCGATCGCAGCACCCCCTCGGGCAGGCGAAGGTGGCGGCCCTGGACCAGGAGGTACTGTGCAAGGACGCGTGCGCCAACCTCGTCATGTCCCTGGCAGGCCCCGCAGGTAGGGGGAGGACGGGCGGAAAGAGGGCGTAGGATCCAGACTCTGTCGCGTCAAGAGCAGAAAACACGACTAGAGGTTTTTGGCGTGTTTCGGGCTCTGGGGGCCCGTCAAGCAGCAACTCGGGATGAGAAGCCGGTCCCAGGGAACGCGCCCAGACTTTTGCGGGTCCACATTGCGAAGGAAACGTGGCGTCGATGGTCTGGGGATCGGACGGGGCTAGGGCGAGGATGGATGAATCCGTTCCAGAGCCTTCCGGAACGTTCCCAGGAAGTTCTGGAACGTTCTTAGGAGGCGTGGCGCCCGAGACATCCGCCGCAGTTGCCAGATCTCAGAGATTCTCGATGTAGCCTAACCCGATTGATCTTCGTCCTGGCTTCATCTCAGAGGAGGGAGAGAGAGAGAGAGAGAGAGAAAGAGAGAGCGGGGCGGAGAGAGGGGAGGGACGAAGAGGGCGGGAGGGGGAGAGGCAGGGAGGGGGGAGACGGGAGAAGGGATTCCCGACGAAGACCAGGCGATCGCAAACATGGATCCATGGGGAGTGGATTAGCGACGGGTCCCGCTTCCACGGGAAATCGCGGATTTCCGCCGCCGAGCGAGGCGGCACCAGCCGCATTTTGGGGAGGGCACCTCCCCCGATCCATGGATTTGGCGACCGCGTTCCAAATCCATGGATCTCTTATCGATGTCTGCGCACCCCCGAGAAGAACAATCGCCACAAACATGAACTTTCGGAGGTCAGCGCGGACTGATCGGGTCGGCGCTGAATCCCCCTAGGCGCCTCCAGCGCCGGCCCTGGCGCGCTTCGGGGGGTCCCGCGCCGACCAAAGAAGTCCACGCGGACCTCCGAAAGTTGATGTTGATACCGATGTGTCTTCCTCCTCCCTCCATCCATCCTTCTCCCCCTCCTCACTGACCATCCCTTTGCCCAGGCCTCCCAAAAGCGGCCGGAGCAGATGAGATCGGCGGATCACGCCGCATCGCTGATGCATCGGCGATGCGGCACAATCCCGAGTCGAACTTGCTCTGCCCTGTCGTGGCCAGTGCATCGGCGATACATCAGGGATGCGGCTCGATCCTCCGAACCCATTGAACCCTCCTCCTCCTCCTCCTCCTCCTCCTCCTCCTCCTCCTCCTCCTCCTCCTCCTCCTCCTCCTCCTCCTCCCCCTCCCCCTCCCATTTGAGAGTCCTCTACTTCGTCCCTCCCTCATCTTACCCCTTCTCCTCCCTTCTCTGCCCCCTCCCCCCTCCCGATTCCGCCTTCGTCGGACCGGCACTGTACGCCAGAGTTCCTCTGAAGTACCTGAAACCCCTCCACGTGGGCGAAGGATGTCGGCCCGAGCCAAGTGGGCAGCCTCCTGAGCTTGTGTGCTGCTGTTGTGTTGATGTCACCTGTCGTCCTGTATGGCGTCCTATATCTTAGGTGTACACAATCTTGTGTCCTCATCTCCCCCTCCTTCCACCTCTTTCCTTCTCCCACCCCTCACCGTCACCAAGATGTGGCTGTCAGGAATCAATATCCCAGAAGCCTCCCTCCCCCCTCCCCCCGCTCCTCCTCATCGCCCTCCCCTCCGCCTCGCCCACTCTCTTCTCGTTCTCCTTCTTCTCCTCGCGCGCGGGAAGAGGAGATGGAAGTGGGGCCATGGTTCTCGCAGCTGTGCTGCCGCCGTGACAGGCCTGATGTCGTCCAAGTGCACTCCGCATGCGGTCATCCATTCGGCTTGTGCCGCCCTGCCGCCTTCGGGTTATAGCAGTCGCTGTGGGCACCGTCGTCCCTGTCAGACTGGTTGCTTTCGCTTTCTCCCTCCCTCCCCTCCACCCAAGACGCTGAAGTGAGGACCTCTTTGGGCCGTTCCTTAGGGCCAGGTCGGGGACCGTAGTCGTGGCCGAGGCTCGCCGCGACCAGAACAAAACGTTAGTTTTTTGTCAGCAGTCCTCATGCTAGCACGATGGCTGGACCCTCCTTCGCACTCAGTCGGCATGTGACTTGGAGTTTGTTTTGATCCAGCCTGAACTGCTGACACGGGGTGTCTTCCGAGCCTGTAATTGCCAGATTACCCCATCACGCCATCTCGAGTTGCACGCATGCAGCATCGTATGATAGGCCTGCAATCGTTCGTGCCCACCGGACTCTAGTCGGATTACACGCTGTTTTTGCGTTTGGGCATTGACAGCACGGTAGTGTGTCCAGTGCGTTCGATGTGTAGCGTCTCCAGTCTTGTTAGATTCCAGATTGTTGCCCGGAGCGCATCAATGTTCCTAAATGTTCCTAGAAGGTTTCGGGCAGGGCCAATCATGACATTCTGAGGTATCAGGCCAAGATTCAGCCCTTTTGAAAATGCACCTACGTTCTTCCTTTCTGTCACTTTGCCCACTCCTAGTCGCATTGCCTTCTTTTCACTGGGAACGAACAAAAGGAACCCGCTCCCTGGACCGCGCATTGGCGACAGCTTGAACACTCATCACATGCATGCGGGTATGCATGGAATCACGGGGCTGCACAGTACCTTGCAAACCGTCGGGCGGAGCGAGGACCAGGAACGTTCTCTGGGAATCGCTCCCGAGAGTTCCGGTTCGAACGCTCTCGGAGCGCTCCGGAAGGCTCCAGAGGCTGCGGCGCCCAATGCATCCTCCCCAGACCCCCGACGTCATGAATTTTGGTCAGAGCGTCAACCTCTGGAGGTCTCGACCCATTCCCTGGGACCTGTTTCTCATCCTGATTTGTTTTTTGCCGGTCTTGAAGCCTGGTGAGGGCCCCCAGACGCTGACAATGGCGAGAAACCCTCCGTCGTGATTTTTGTCATGACCCGAGGGGGTTGGGCGGGCCCAGAACAGCCCAGAAGTCCCCGATTGATCCCAGTCCGATTCTGTAGCTGTTCTGGTTTCGTTTTGAACCCAACGGAAAAGGTAGTTCGGATGCGACTCCTGGGAGGTCAAATTCTGATTTTGCCCTGGTCCGAAGTCCGGCTTGATCTGGCTTAACCCAGCTTAATCCCGCTTAATCTGGCTTAATCCCGCTTAAATGCACCATCTCAGCAGTTCGCTGCCCCTTCCCCTGTCCCCTCGCCTGGGCCTGGCGCAGGGATGGCAGGGCGGTCCGAGCGTAACACTGCAGTCTAGATGGCTCCAAGATGGTTCCAGGTCCCCCAAAGTGGCTTCCAAGATGGTGCGGGATAGTGGAGGATGACGATTAATAAATGACCGGGGGTCGTGTTCACGCGGCGGCGCCCGGGATGACGATTAGAAAAAACCGGCCGCGGGCTGGAACAACTTTTTTTCATCGTTTTCCTCCAGTCAGAAAATAGCAGAAAACTATTTGTTTGATCGTTCTCTCCCATGTTTTATTAATCGTCATCCCGCATTAGCCCAAGCTCGATCCACATGGGCGTCAAACATGCCTCACCGAGGCCATAACGTGCCTCCAAGACGGCCCCAATGGGCCACGAAGTCTCCCAAGCATCCCCCCTGCGGTTTTGATCAATCATTTTGGGCATCATCGCCTTTCCGCTTCCGATGGCCTTCTGTTACCAGCCTCGAACGTATCCCTATCCCTAATATTGACACGCCAAAAGGCGATGACAATCTTAGGGATTCGCCCTCAAAAAATAAGGGAATCCCTAAGAATGGCATCGTGATGAGGCGATGCCGAACATAGGGATAGGGGTATGTTCCAGGCTGGTAATTCTGGAGCTCAGGGGTGGCCTCCAAATCGGCAGAGAAATCCCCAAAAGGGCAACCAGATGCCCTGCAAGGCCCGCAACAGCCCCGCAATGTTTTTTCTTATCCTCCTTAAATCTTTCCGACGAAGACCTTCCAGCAGTTGCTTCCTGAAGGTAGCTTCGGGGCGTTCCTGCGTCGTGGGGCTGGGGCTGGGCACCACTTGGAATATACTGCCCCTCTGGTCTGAGGTAGTTGTATAGGAGGAGGAACAGAGGACAGAGTGTTTACACAGTTTGGAGGAATAAGTGAATTCAGTATGGGCCGGGCTTGAAGCGCTTCGAAAAAACGCCTGCACCCGAATCGCAAGCATATGGCTATATGCGGACCCAGGACAGTTTGCTTCCCGTCGTCGTCCTCGCCCTTGCTCCGTTACCCTTCCTTTCGTCCCTCCCCTGGACGATGTCGAAAGCGTCCGCGGCTCGGGCGGGGGAGAGCCCCTGTCCACCTCCCTGAGAATTCCTCGTTCCTCTTTGCTTCCCTGCTCCGCCGTCCGTCGTCTTACCTCGTCTACCATCCATGTTTGAATAGTGGGGTCCCTGGCGCCGCGTGCCCGCATCAGCGGTATATCGCGTTTTCGATATCCAATCACAGCGGAGCAACGAAACGATTGACAACGCGAGAGTTCGGGGCGCACTCCAAACGCGGGCGGCACGGCCGCCGAGCACAGTCGCATCGCTAACCTGTCAGTTCTAGGTGCCTGCGGCAAGGTCCGCACCTTTACCAAAGCAGCGGTCTGTATGGCGACGCGTGGAGCTTTGACTGTTAAGAGGTCCATGGCATGTGATACCTCTCGTGTTTTCGGACTGCTGCGCGGCATTGTTTGGGGTCATTCGAGGCCTTTTCGGGGCGTCTTCGGGCCGTTGGGGGCCGCTTTGGCGCCGCGTTTCACCGCGGCCGCCCTGGGCCAGGGAAGCGTGTATTTGCTGTTCCCTCGGGGGCGCCCTGGGCCGGGGAAGTGTGTATTTGCATCCCCCCTAGCTGGACATGTCGACTTCGGTTTTGGGTTGGCAAAGTCGGGGCACCCTCGAGGTGGCGAGCGTTCACCTTTCCGAAATACGCAGATCAATCTGTGATCTGTGTACACAACTTGTGCCTTCAACTGTGTATTCTCGTGTGTGGGCCCACTGTGCACACATCGTGGTTTGATCTGTGTACACAGATCTCGCTCCCATCTGTGTATTTGGAGTGTGCGCCTCGCGGGTGGTGTTGATTGGGCGGGAACTTTCACGTTTCTCTTTCGGCTGGTCAGGGGGGGCGTCGTACGCGGTCGAAATACACAGTGCGTGTCTCCAACTGTGCATCTGTCGCGCGCCGCTCGGTGGAGTGGTCACTGGGCGGGAGTTTCCGCGGGTCTCCCAACTGGTCCAGGAAAGGGCAGTGGTCTGGGCATGCAAAGGCGCGGTGTGGTGGGGATGGTGGGCTGCGGGAAGGAAGGGGTTCGATAGGAGGGGTGGCCAAGGGGCCAGGGATGAACCGGAATGGACGGGAGGGGAGGAAACGGGCCCAGGGGGAGCTGCATCATCGGTGTCAGCATCACGAGGACGAGGGAGGCGGGGGGGGCACATGGAGGGGGCATGATGTGCACTAGGGCGTAGAGGATAGGAGGAGGGCAGGCATGTGGACGATGGGGGAACGAATCCGGCGGAGGAGGACGACGACGAACGACATGAATTGGCACATGGGGGGGTGACAGTGTGGATGAGGGGCATGGTGAGGACCGGGGGTAATCGGAGGGGCATGAGGAGAATGGGGCCAAAACGAAGGGATATTGGGAGGCGGCGGGGGATGGGGCATGAGATTGAGGCGGGCGCCAGCTAACGATTAGCTGAACAGTGTTCTGCGTGTCCGCGCACCCCCCCAGAACACAGTGACCAGTTGCAAAACTCCATGACATGGGCAATCGTGCGCTTCGTACTTCCAGGCCAATGGCTCGAGTCCACGACGCCGTTTGGCGTCGCGTTGATGCCGCCCCGATTCGCCAGACCTTATATGCACAGATATGCATAATATGTGTTTGAGCGTTTGTTTCATGACCCTCTCTATAGTAACAAAACCCACGCTGGAAACCAAGCGGCACCACGGCGGCGGCGTTGTGTGGACGCTCTGGGGACCTGGGGCGCACGGCCAGGCCGTGAGGGTGGCAGCACTGTTGGCTGCCGTGACGCCGTCGTCGTTACCTTCTTCTTCACCGCCATATTGTTTTCATTATTATAATCAGTATCCTCATCAACATCATCAACATCAACATCCTCAATACAGTCATCATCAGCATCATCATCGTCATTGTCATCGTCATCGTCGTCGCATATTCATCATCATCTCATCAGCTGAACCATCATCATCGTAATCATCATCTCATCAGCATCACCATCATCAACATCACCTTCCTGGTCATCGCCATCATCATCATCATCACCATCATCATCATCATCTTTACCATCTACATCAGCATCATCATCGTCGCCGTCGTTGTCATCGATGTCGTTATCGTTATCGCAATCACCATCCATCGTCCTCAACATCATCATCATCACCATCATCGGCAACATCACCATCGTCATTGGTATCATCAGCATCCGCATCCTCATCATCGTAATCATAATACCCATCATCGCCAGCCATCATCACCACCAGTAACGACAATGTCGTCATTGTCATCATCATCGCCATCATCATCATCGTCATCCTCGTCATAATCATCATCAACATCATCATCCTCATCAGCATCATCGCCATCATCATCATCATCATCATCATCTAATGGCTTGGGTTGTGGTGTGTGAAGCCCATTGGATGTTCATCTGGATCTCGTGGGAGGCCTCTCGGCGGCCTCTTCGAGGCAGTTTTGATGCCTCCTGCCGTTTTGAGGTCTCTATGGGCCTCTTGGGGGCCTCTTGGGGCCTCCTGGGCGCCTCTTGAGGTGGGAGGCTCGGATTTTTGGCTCGTGATCCCTCTCTTGGACCCCTTTTGGAGCCGTTGTGGGGCCGTCTTGGGCGCCTCTTGGGCCGTCTTGGGGCACTTCTTGGGTCGTCTTGGGGCCCTCTTGGAAGCCTCTTGGGTCGGTTTGGAGTGGTCTTGGGGGCCTCTTGGACCGTCTTGGATCGTCGGAGCGCCGAAAAGGCGAGAACGTCAAATCCCTGCAAAGTCCTCAAGGAAATAAATGATTTTGGCTTCTTGTGTGGGTTCACGGCTGCTGCCAGGGCTTGTTGGTTTCTCGACGCAGATTCGTCTGGTGCCATTGTCGTTTGTTTTTGGATGGCGGTGTGCAATTATCGCATCCACTAATAGAAAGTCTTCTGGATGGCAGTGTCCAGATGTTTTTTCTTCTTGTGCTAACCCGGCGACTGGAGTGGAATAGGTCAATGTGATCCATGGTCTGGCTATTGTTGACGGTGCACCCTCAGTCTATGGCTCGTCAGGCGTTCCTCTTTTTGCAAATGCCATTGTCGCGTGTCATGTCGCTGATCGTGGGCATAAGAATTCTTAGGGACACGTGCGGTTCATCTTCTGCATCAGTCAGCGTCCACATTCGCAACCGTTGGCTGCCGGTGTTGGCCCAGATGTTCGTAGGTTTCCTGACGACGGTGATGAGGGCGACGACGATGACTGGCGCCACGGTCAGTCTTCTCGGCAGCGTGTGCACGACGACCAATGGCAGGTGCATGGCGCCGATCCTGGTCTTCTGCCCTTGCGACCCCTGTGGGGCCCGCTCTCAAAGCACCGACGCAGTGTCTTCCACCTTGTGGTGATCCAGTGCTGTAGCTCAGTGGCCTGTGGAAGCCAGTGCCTGTTGTTCCTGAGTTTCCCTGGCTGCGTCGTTTCGATTCGTCCGTGAGTGTCCCCACAATTGATGGCAAAGGAACGGGCTTAAGTTCATCAATCAATTATTGCGTTTGTGTCTCGGCCCTTTCTTTTGGATGTGGTCAAGCGTGCCACTCAAAAGATCGGGCTTCGACATGATCGTGCCGTCTTTTTGCCAAAAGTGTTGCGCGAGCTTTTCAGAGGGAGCACCTTTATTGAAGTGTTTCGGCAACGTCTTGTACAGCTCAAGTATTCTATACCTTATTTCATACAGCACCTATATTTCATCGAGAGTTCGTCAATTTCTCATGGGGCGCGGTGTTATTAGGACTCATTGGTTATCTATCCACGTAGGTTTGGTTGGATAGTGCATTCGGTGCTGCGTCTGAATTGCCATTATCAAAGATGTGTTCGTTTACCTGTCTCTTTGTTTTGTTCGGTTTTGTGTTTTTCAACTGGCTTGCGCCAGTCCGCCGTCTCGGTTGTTCTCCCTGTTTGACTCCGCTGCCTTCCCTCCTTCTTTTGGCTTGCCTTCGCTTCTTCTTCTCTTGCCCCTTGCTGCGGCCTTCCTTGCCCCGCCTTTCGGCTGCGGATCATTCTTGTCGCGTTGGCCTTGTCAACTTGTTCCGTGCGTCGCCCTCGTCCAATGAGAATTCAGTTGTCTAAGTGACAACCCTGATTGGAGGGAAGGGACACATGTCATCATCATCAGCATCATCATCATCGTCATCGTCATCGTCATCATCATTATCATCAACACCAGCATCAGCATCAGCAGCATCATCATCATCACCACCATCATCATCATTATCAGCATCACCATCATCACCATCATCATCATCATCATCATCATCATCATCATCATCATCATCATCTTTATCATCATCATCATCATCATCATCATCATCATCATCATCATCATCATCATCTTTATCATCAGCATCATCATCATCATCATCATCATCACCATCATTATCAACATCATTATCAACATCATCACATTCACCATCGCCATCATCATCCTCTTCATTATCATCTTCACCATCGCCATCATCATCACCACGCCAGCGAACACGAGCGGCAGCCGGGTCGGCGGATACTGGACGGTTTCCTGAAGTCCGTGGTGGTCCCAGAGTTGGGGTCGGAACCGACCGCGAGCAGAGCGGTGCTGAGAGCTGCGTGCCTGAAGTACGTGACAAGGGGCACCAAGCCATACATGATCGCGCTGTGGAAGAAGACCACGACGGGAGGTTTTTGTCGCTGTTTTCGGCCTCCAGGGGCCCCGCACTGAACAAAAAACGCCTCTCCAGCTTGAAAGATTGATCAGACCAGCGTTCGTTCCTCCTCCTCCTCCTCCTCCTCCTCCTCCCTCTCCTCCTCCTCCTCCTCCTCCCCCTGCCTCCCCCTCCCCAGCCACGCTGCCCTCCCTCCCTCCCCGCGGCCGGAACCCCTGCTGCCTCGGCGGCCTCCCAGCCCGAGCCCTTTCTCGCGGCGCTCCCAGGCCGAGGGCCGAGGGCCGCGGGGGCAGGCGGGGGGGGAGCGGAGCCTGAGGGAGACGGGACCCGGATTCACGTCGGGCCTGTCCCTCTAGAGGAGGAATACCTTGGCATCGCTCGGACGTGTGCATTTTTCCTTTCGGCGCGGACCATCGAGGAGCATCCTTGATCATTTGGCGAAAGACCCACGCACGAAATCGAACAAAAACACACCGAATGGACGTCCGAGCGATGGCGAGATACTGAGGAATAGTCAAACAAATAGTCTGGGGGCGAGCTCTGGACTATGTTTCTGCCCACTGGGGGGGGGGTATTTTTTGAGTATCTATTGCAGTGCCGCTTTTTACTACATGCTCCGCATGCGGACCATGTATTAAACATGCAGGGATTTAGCATTAAAAACAACGATGAGTTCGCGCATACATGTTCTTCACACATTAGTCATGTATCAAACAAATCTTGTATTGTTTAACATCCGATGTATTAAACACTGCCCTGTCTGTTGCGCCCAGAATCCTCTTGTATAGGGGGGCGCTCCGCTCTCTGGGCGGCCACGGGCCCTGCTCGTCCTCCTCGCCCGTCTGGCAGCCCCTCCTCGTGCTCCCGCTGCTCCTCCTCGTCGTCGCTCGCACCCCCCACCCCCTCCACTCGCCATCGCTCGGACGTCCATTTCCTGTGTTTTTTGTCGGTTTCGTGCGTGTTTTTTGTTCGGCAAATGGTCAAGGATGCTCCTCGATGGTCCTCGTCGAAGAAAAAAGGCACACGTCCGAGCGATGCCAGGTCCACACCGCCTCCTCCCAGCACGGGGCCTTCCCTCCCGAGCCGGTGACCGTCCCGGGGGCCGCGCGAGGGCCACGGGAGGCCAGGAGCGGCGACGCACTTGCGCTCGTGGGCCCCGTGGCTCCCCCACGGCGGCGCACCCCGGCGGGGGTCCGCCTGGCCGGGGTCGGAGGTGCCAGACCCCCTCGAGTAATGAAAAAATCATGACGGGAGGTTTTCCCGAATTTTCGGCCTCCGGCGGCCCTCGCCGGGCCTCGGGAGCGTCAAAAAACGACTCAGGATGCAAAGCCGGTCATGGGGAACGGGTCGGGACCTCTGGGGGTCGACGTAATGAAAAAATCATTCAGTCGGGGGTTTGGGGTGCTGGGCAGAGTCTCGGTATCGTTTCACCGATGCCCGTCCCCATCCCCTATCCTTCCTGGCATCCTTCTCCTGGCAGGCGTGTGCGGCCACCAACACCGAAACTGCAGCGCCAAGGACTATTCCTGGCGCACCGCACCACAAATTGATGTGCTCTGCCACCTGATGAGCAGAAATGGTGTTCACAAGTCGTGCGCCTTCTTGTGGTGAAGTGGGCCTTTGAAACGATCCCCATCCCCATGCCCGTCCCCTTCGAGACACCCCCCCAAATTGCCACCCCCGTTGGGGATACACCCCTCGAAAGCCGAAGGGAGCGATCTATACCCCCATCCAGGGGGGTGTGAATCGGCCAGTGGGGCCCAGGCCACGCCGCTGGGGATGGGGATCGGTCAAACGATACTCAGATTCGGCGCCGCCCAGCTAAAATTCGCTCACTAACTCGTAGGCTCCGTCCCCAGACATGCTCGCGTCGTGCAGCGATTACAACGGAAGTTTTTGGCGGTTTTCGGTTGCTAGGGGCCTCCGCCGGGCCCCGGGATCATCACGCAAACTGTCGGGATGATGTTCATGCCTTGGAAAAAGGGTCGGGGCTTCTGAGGTACCCCCCCACACCTCGAGAAATGCAGGGCCTCGCACGTCCAGGTTCTGGCCCCATCTCCGACCCGCGTGCAGCCCTGGCGACTGGACACTGACATGTCCCATCCCCGAAGGCAACGAGGACGAGCAGACGGACGAGGGCCTGGTTGACCCTCTTGGTAATGCTTGCCGTGCTTCCAGGAGTTCCCAGGCGAAGTTGACAGTGCCGCCTCTGGCGTTGAGTTCGCATTCTCCTCTCCCTCACGCTGCTCCTTCCTCGCCTGCCCGCCTGCACCCTCGTCTTCAGCTCCGGGCTGGAGCTGCCCTTCGGATTCTAAGTGATCTTTGTGTCGACAGCGGCAAGGGACCATGACTATCTTCTGCTCGTGCATTGCAATTTTGCAATGGCCGTTTCGGTAAACAGTGCAATGACGCATCCTATGCGTTGGGGTGCGTCGGCGGCACCTCTGGGTTAGTCTTCTTCACGAATGCCGCCCAGGAGTTGCCTCCTAACCTGCCCCGCAAGCCGAGGTGACCGTGCTGAGGAGCCACCTCTGCCCTGCCACGGTGGCCAGCGTGGTGCCGGGCATTCTCAGGCCGCGCTTCGGCAAGGGGGGCGGCCCACCAACGAACGATGGCGGATCGAGGATCGAGGATCGAGGATCCAGACATGAGCGCGTCGTATTGAAGAAGTCGCGACGGAAGGTTTGGGCCGTTTTCGGCCTCGCCCAGCCACAGGACCGTAAACAACAAGGTTCGGGATGGCAAACCGGTCTTTGGGGAGGGAAAGGGCCGGCGACCCCGTCTCGCAAACATCAAGACTTACGATGTCTGGGGGTCTAGGATCGAGGTTCGAGGATCGAGGTTCAATTCTCGAAGATCGAGGCTCGAGGATCGAGGCTGGAGGGTCGAGGCTGGAGGGTCGAGGCTCGAGGGAGGATCGATGTTCGAGGATCGCGGTCCTCGTGCGTTTTCTCGGCGGCTGCTTGGGCCTAAGGGGGGCGCCTCGGAAGCCTCCGATGGGGACCCTGCAGGCCTTCCTGGAAAGTCCCAGGGGTCGACCTCGTGGGGTCCTCGGGTCGCGCCCGCCTGCCACTTGGCCCCGCTCGGACGTGCGCATTTTTCCCTCGGCGGGGGCCAACGGGAAAAAAAAACACATGGGGAAAAAAACGTGGGGAAAAACACACACACACACACGTGGTGAAAAAACACACACACACACACACGTGGGGAGAAACACACACACACACACACACACACACACACACACACACACACACACACACACGTGGGGAAAACACACACACACACACACACAAAACACACACGTGTGTGTGTGTGTGTGTGTTTTCCCCACGGTGTGTGTGTGTGTGTCTTTTCCCCAGGGAGCATCTTTTGATTCATTAGGCAAAAAATCTACGCACGAGACCGGCAAAAAACACAGGGAATGGACGTCCGAGCGATGGCCAGTGTCAGGGGCAACGACAGGGAGGGATAGGTTCGGGGAGGGGTGCATCGACCCCCAATCGCCCATTGATCGCCGGTAGGGGTCCGATAGCCCCAACCCACCCAGGAACGTGCGGATTTGCCATCGGGGGCCTATCGACGATCTACCAGCGATGCGTCGCCGATGCCAGGTCGATGTTCCCCCCCTGAGCCAGTCCCCTTCTATTGTTGCCCCTCAGCTTGGAGCTGCCCCCCCAGGCCCCCGAGGATCGAGGTCCCAGGCCTCCGAAGGATGGCTCTGTTTCCACCATGTCGCTCTTCCGACATTCCGGCCTCCACGGACCACCCTCGGGGCCCTGGGATCCTGATAGACGGATCGGGGACGAAGCGATGCCCCGAAGGAAGGGGGCTTGCGCTGATGCGGGCGCGCGGGACTTACGTGCGTTTTCCACGCGGGCGTGTCGCTGGTACCCGCTTTTGTTTTCCCAGCTGCGGCGCGGGCACACCACGCAGGCATCGAAGCCCGTGACCGGGGATCGGCCGGCGTCGAGCGAGTTGCGCAGTAGGGAAGCCGCCAATCGTTCAAGGCGGAATGATCTCCGCGCGGTGCCGCCAGAAGTTGACACGAAAGTCGTCACGACACGAGCTTGTCATAATGCGACCAAGCTCAAGTGGCGGATCGACTGCAGAATTCCTTTATCCAGAAGATATGTTCCCCCCTCGAACCTACGACTAATATGTCATATGTTTGCAACTCTAGAACGCATTCTAAGTATTCTCCCGTTGGCTCGACGATGAGATTTATTTTGAGGTACATCAATTCTGAAGTCGATCGACCCTTTCCCCGGGACCGGCTTCCCATCCCGAGCCGTTTCTGACGCGCTCCCGAGGCCGGGCGAGCCCCGGCGCCCCGGAGGCCGAAGACAGAGAATAGAACCCGCCGTCGTGATTCTTTCACGACGGGGCGGTCGGGCGGGGCCAGGGCGACTCCTCCTCCTCCTCCTTCTCCTCCTCCTCCTCCCCCTCCTCCTCGCCCTCCTCCTCCTCCTCCTCGCCCTCCTCCTCCTCCTCCTCCTCCTCCTCTTCCTTCTCCTCCTCCTCCTCCTCCTCCTCCTCCTCCTCCTCCACCTCTATCCCTCTCCCTTCTCAATTGGATCTTGCTCCGCTGGACCTCGGATGGGGCTAGGTCGAGGATCAGTCCGTTCCAGAGCACAGCGTTCGGGAACGCTCTCGGAGCCTTCCGGAACGCTCTGAGAAGGCCACGGCGCCTGAGACATCCTGCAGAGCCGCCAGGCCTCAGAGATTCCTAGGGATTCCTAAGCATTCCTCGAGATTCGTAGGAATTCGTAAGGATTCGTAGGGATTCCTAGGGATTCCCAAAGAATCCTAGGGATTCGTAGGGATTCCTAGGGATTCGTAGGGGTTCGTAGGGATTCGTAGGGATTCCTAGGGTTTCGTAGGGATTCGCATGGATTCCTAGAGATTCCTGGGGGGATCTGTCCTCACCCGACGTCTTTCTCCGTCTTTGCGCCCCGGGCCCGTCGCAGAACACGGAGATGCGGTGCGAAACCGCACCCGATGGAACCGGGGAGGGGCCCGGGGACCGATGTCGAGCGGATTTCGGCCCCGTCCCCCCTCCAGACCGACTTCCTGGGGTCCCAGCCAGTTCTGCCCCCCGGCCGTCTCCCGTCGTCCAGGGCTCATTTCGACCCTTCGGGCTCGTTATGATCCGATTTCGATCGATTCCGATACGATTCGGCTTCGGACTCCTCGGACCTCGGTCTCTCAGTGGAGGTTTTTTTGACTGGCCTGCCGATGCCCGCGAGGAGGAGGAGGAGGAGGAGGAGGAGGACGGGGAGGAGGAGGAGGAGGAGGAGGAGGAGGAGGAGGAGGAGGAGGAGGACGGGGAGGAGGAGGAGGAGGAGGAGGAGGAGGAGGAGGAGGAGGAGGAGGAGGAGGGCGGGGGAGGCTTCTCCCAACTTCGCTGCCGATGTCCGATCCGATTCCTTCCGATCGCCGGTCCGACTCGTCGATGCTCGACGCGGGGCCTGCCCGCCCGTGTTTTTTTTTCGGGAGGGCCGCGCGTGGGCGCGGAGGTGAACGCACCTGCCCAGGCATGCCAGGCATGCCCGCGTCGTGGACAGGCCTTGGCATCGCTCGGACGTGTGCATTTTTCCCTTCGGCGAGGACCATCGAGGAGCATCCTTGATCATTTGGCGAAAAAGCCACGCACGAAACCGACAAAAAAAACAGGGAATGGACGTCCGAGCGATGCCAGGCCAGGCATGCCCGCGTCGTGGACAGGCACGACGGGAGTCCTGAAGGTCGTTGTCGGTCTCTGGGAGCCTTCGCCGGGCCCCCGGGCCCCCAGGCCCATCCCAGCCCCCCCCCCCCTCCGTCGCGAAGAAGATCACGACGGCGGGCGTTTCCCTGGGCCTTCGCCGGGCCTCGGGAGCGCTTCAAAACGACTCGGGATGAGAAACCGATCCCGGGGAAAGGGTCGAGACCTCCGGGGGTCGACGTCGTGAAAAGAATCATGACGTCGGGGGTCTGGGATCACAAAACAACTTGGGCTGGAGACCCTGGGGAAAGGATCCGGACTCCCGGCAAATTGTTAAACAATCGAGGAACACCGAGCCCCTCCCAAACGAGAAGGGTTCCTCCTCAAGCGCCCCGACTGCAGGACACCCGATGTCTGTGTGTGCCACGCCTGGGCGCGAAGATGGACGCACCTGCCCAGGCGCGTCCTCGGGCCTCGTCCCGTTGCACCTCCATGCTGGCGTGCCCTGTCTCTGCCTCAAAGTCTCCATCCATCACCCAGTGGTGGTCGTTTTTTTATTCACGGTTTGGCCGATCGGCGCGGGCCCTCGCCCCCCTCCCCTCCCCCCCCCTGCGAAGTAGATCTTAGCTCTTAGCTGTTTTTTGACACTTGTTCAGAGCGGGTGGAGCTTCCCCCAGAGGACGCACGGCACGGTCCCAAACAGTCGGACTCAGCAGAGTTCCGGAGCCAGACCCCCCCGCTCTTCCGCCCAGTGTCGAAACGCCTAATAAAAAAAACGCTCACCAGCTCGCTGGCTCGCAAGAAACAGCTCAGCCGTCCGAGAGTCCAGCAGCCTGCCCTGGGCCCCGTCCTGGGCCTGGGACCGGACAGGTGGTCCGCGGGCGTCGCCCGATCTCTCGCCGGGGGCGCCCCGGGGGGGGGCCATGACATCTCCCAGATTGCGTGGCCCGCTTGTATTCTTTCAAGCCGTTCCTTGCCCCCCCCCCCCCCATCCCCTCGTTCGCGCGCGTGCCACGGACCACGATGCGTGGCTATATCCCCTCATGATGCCCCCCCCCCCCGCACTGGCGCACCCGAGCTGGCGGCTGGCCCGCCAGAGGCACATGACCTCCGAGAGCGCCGTGGTGCACACCTACGCGGCGCACTGCCTGGGGAGCCTGCTCACGGTCGTGGAGCCGACCTCGCTGCGGAGCTCCCCCACGGGCTCCCCGAGCGGCTCCCCTGCCAAGAGGCCGCCTTTGTGCGGGGGGGGAGGGCTGACCGACACCTCGGGAGCGGCGCGGAGCGGAGCAGCAGCGATAAGTGGAGCTGGGGCTGGAAGGGGGAGGAGGAGGAGGAGGAGGAGGAGGAGGAGGATCTAAGAGGCAAACGCTGCAAAAGCATCAATTTCCCAAGGTCCGCGCGGTTTTCTTGGATCGGCTCTGAACCCCCCGGCGGCTCCTCCAGCGCCGCCCCTGGCGCGCTCTGCACGCCGGGAAAGGGGGTCCAGCGCCGATGCAAGCAATCCGCGCGGACCTCCGAAAGTTTATATTTATGCTGCTATCCTCCCTCTGCAGAGGAGGGGGAGGCTTGACAGGCGACGAGGGAGGACAAAAAGCAGCGGCGCTGGGAGGCTGCAACGGCAGGAGAATCGTTGCCACCCCCAGGATCCAAAATCGACCGCTGCACGCACAGCCGATGAGGAAGAATGAGGTGGGGTGAGGGAGAAGGAGGCAGGGACGAGGAGGATGATGATTGAGGAGATGGAAATGATGATGAGGGTGATGAGGACGGTGAGGATGGTGGTGATGATGATGAGGAGGAGGACGACGACGATGATGGATGTTGAAGATGATGGTGACGATAATTTTGATGATTATGATGATGATGATGTTGATGATGATGATGATGATGCTGATGATGATGATGCTGATGATGATGATGATAATGGTGATGAAGATGGTGACGATGGGGGAAGGGTGGTGGCGGTGGTAGTGGTAATGGCGATGATGATGGTGTTGATGATGCTAATGTTGCTGATGATGATGTTGATGTTGATGTTGCTGCTGCTGCTGCTGCTAATCATGATGATGATGATGATGATGGTGTTGTGTTCGATTTGTTGTCGGTGATGCTGATGATGGGGATCATGATGATGTTTATAATGACGACGAGGAGGAGGATGCGGATGCGGATGCGGCTGATAATGATCATATTGATGACGATAGTGTTGATGTTGAATACGGATATGAATATAGTGGTGATGGTGATGACGATGATGCTGATGATGATGACAATGGTGGTGACGATGAGTAAGATGCCGATGTTGATGATGTTGCTGTTGATAGTGATGACGTTTATGATGATGACGACGATGTTGATGATGCTGATGCTGATATTGCTGATGATGCTGCTGCTGACATGATGACGGTACTGGAGACGATGATGGTGATGACGATGCTGATGCTGATGCTGATGATGATGAGGTGGAGGAGAAACTGGAGGATGGTGAGGATGATAGTTGTGACTACGAGTATGATGACGGTGATGGTAATGGCAACGATTATCGTAATGATGAACAGGCTGAAAACACAGATGATGGTGTTGCTGATGATGATGCTGATGGTCACGATGATGATGACGATGATGATGATGATGATGATGATGATGATGATGATGATGATAATGCTGATGTTGATGCTGATGCTGATGATGGTGTTGATGATGATGATGGGGTCGATGAGGATGATGATGATGATGACGTCGATGCTGATGATGATGATGATGATGATGACGTCGATGATGATGATGATGATGATGATGATGATGATGATGATGATGATGATGATGATGATGATGATGGTGATGGTGATGGTGATGGTGATGGTGATGGTGATGGTGATGGTGATGGTGATGGTGATGAGGAGGAGGAGGAGGCGGAGGAGGAGGCGGAGGCGGAGGAGGCGGGGGAGGGGGAGGATGAGGACGAGGACGAGCTTGAGAAAGAAGATGAGAATGGGGATGCTGATGAGGATGATGAGGATGATGAGGATGATGATGCTGAACACCATGATGATCCGTTGCGCTGGGCGCCTCTTTTCCCTGCCGCACTGTTGCTCGTCAAGATTCGCCCCCCTCCCACAGGGCACGCCTTCGATCCAGATCGCTGTCTGACCCACCCGGGGCCCGAGGGCGGCCCGCCCAGGCAAACATTTCAGAAAGAATCCCCAGACGTCTGGGGCCTCCTCGGAAGCCTCCAGGGATCTCCGCAGGCGTCGAGACAGGTCCAGAGGCCTCCTTGAGGCCACAGGGGAGGGCAAGCATACAAAACAGACAGCCGGGCCGAGTGACAAGATCGAGGTCGGTTCGGGGAGGGTGCCCCAGTGTTCTTCGTGATTTTCTTGGCTGCTCTTGTGCGTCCTGGGGAGGATACCTTTTTGGCTGCTGTGTCTGCTTTGGCCGACGGAGGGTCCGACGACAGCATGCGGAAACCTCTCCCTCGGCTTATTCTCGCGAGGTCCTCCCCTCCCGCCGCAGCTCTGCCTCCGCCCCCCCCCCCCCCACGGGCCACGCAGGCCGCCTCCTCCGCCGCACCCGGGCTCTGGCTGGTCCCGAGACACGACGAGGCCGCGCCCGCCACGGCGCCGCCTGCAGGGGCTCTCGGCGGCCACCGGCGGCCTTCGGCGGCCCTCGGCGGCGCCCCACAGCGGCGCCCCACAGCGGCGCCCCACAGCGGCGCCCTTCGGAAGCGGCCTTCCCGTCAGCGGCCGTCCAGTCAGCGGCCTTGTAGTCAGCGGCGCGGTGGCGGCGACGTCGACGACGAGAGAGCGTCGGGGCGGGACGGAGGCGGGGGAAGGGAGGGGAGACGCGGGAGGGGGAGGCGTGGGTGGCCGCATTGGCGGGACTCTGGGCCTCGAGGGGCTTTGAGAAAGCAGCGAGCGAGCGTTGAGACGCAGCAGCTGTGTCGGCCACTCTGGCTGGCTGGGGCCACGTTGAGGGGTTCCTTGGGGCTGATTCTCGTGCCTCTCGTCAAATTGGTGTTCACTAAACAACCTTGGGCGTTTACTAAACAGCCCTGCACTGTTCGATTCCTTCTTTGGGTGCGTTCACTGAACGACTTGGCGTGTCGGGGTGGTTATGATGGGGGTGGATTTTATGACTTCTATCTCGTACGCTTCGTGAGGACAGGCCCGGGGCTCGTTGGGCAGCCCCGGAGGCGGGCTGTCCGTCCACGGAGTCCGTGCGCGTCGTGAGGCCCGTCCCGTGCCCTGGCGGGGCCGCTCCGGAGGCGAGCTGCCTCGGCGGCCTCTCGTGGGAGGGGCGCCAGCCTGGCGGCCGGGGGACGGGGTGAGCGGCACCGCAGCGGGTACTCACTAACCTTGAGTCGGGCCTGTCCCCCTACAGGGGGGATGTTCCTAAATAGTCCCCCCCAAAAAAAGTATGGGGACGTGTTTTTTGGTAGTTGTGTGCATTTGTGGAGCATCTTTTGGGTATTTCTATATCTTCTTCGTCCACAATCCGTTTGTAGGGGGACATGCCCGACCTAACACTAACCCAGACCCCCTCGGGTCATGAACAAAATCATTCAGGAAGGTTTTTCCTTATTTTTGGCCTCTGGAGTCCCTCACCGGGCCTCGGGACCGTCAATCAACGACTCAGGATGAGAAAAACCGGCCATGGGGAATGGGTCCAGACCTCCTGGGAGTCGACGCCACGGAACAATCAGGACGTCGGGGGTCGGGGAACGGGTACGTTGGAAAGTACGTAGCCGAAAGCTGCCACTGTACAAGCTCTTGCTGGCATGCTGCAGCGTGGCCCACGATCGGGGAGTGCCGGGTTCGCCGTTGCACCGGCCCAGGTGCCCGCCAGGGCACTGAGGGGCGCTGAGGGGGGCGCAGGGCGGGGGGCCTGGGCTGCCCGCTGCCGGGAGGGAGGCCGCCACGGGGCGGACCGAGGACAGGGGTCCGTCCATCCAGAGTTAAGTCGGGCGTGTCCCCCAACAGAGGGATTCTCGGCGAAAAGTGCAGAATATTCAAAAAATATCCCAACATGGTCAACAAATACTCAAAAATTAGTCCCCAGACATTGTTTAAACTATTTTCGAATATTCCCATTGTAGAGGGACAGGCCCAACGTAGATCCAGAGCGTGCGTGACAGAGGGGTCATGAACTCGAGGTCGCCGACCGAGACTGGCGATGCGAGCGCAGAGGGGACTCTTCCGGTTGCCTCGCGAGTGCAATTCGCCTCGATAGGCCGGCAGCGTTGGTGGCTTCGGGTTTTTTTCGAACCCCCCACTGCTTTGCACCTCTCCGCTCCGCCTCGGGTCCCATCGTCGACGATGCTCGTTCGATGTTGCGCCGTCGGCACTTTGGCCCGAAGGGCCCCCAGGGGGCGAAGCGCGTATAGGTATACAGTCAGGGGTTGCCTGACGTCAGTTCTTGACGATCAGCTTGCTAAGCTTGTCCACCTCCGTACGTCTGGCAGGCCACTTCAGAGTCCACTCGCACCACACTCCACGAGTTCATCAACCCGGTCGTTCAGGAACAGTCCCGTGTGAGACGCCACATTGAGCCACATTAGGTATAGACCAAGATCATTAACCAGACGCCGAACATGCAGGGCTTGCCTGATTGTCTGGCGTGCTCTGGAAAGTCTGCGTGTTATGTTGGCCGCGTATTGCGAGTCATACTCAATGCAGCATGATGCAGAAGATGAAGAAAACGACGCTGTTCCCATATGATCGCGCCCGAAAGACAATTCCTAAGAAATTGGCGCTCAGCTCACCGACGTTGTTCGAATTCCTGCGCGCGCCAATGCAACAAGGATCGGATTCAGCAAGGATGGTGGGGCCGCAGAAGTTCAGAAACAATTCCATACCGGGCAAGGATACAGTGAAACCCCAATCCGAAACCTCCTCCCCGTCCACGCTCGTGGATCCGTTGCACGACACGACAATCAAAGCAGGGCGCTGAAAAGCAGGAGGGGCCTGTGGAGCAGGACAAGAAGGCTCTCGGTGATCACGCCGTATGGGTTGAGGTCCGAGTCCGGGCTTGATCCTCTTCAGCGGCGGAAGAGCTGACCGGTAGATTTTGTCCGCGATCGCGGCAGTGCCAGGTCAAGAGCTTGGCATCGTTCGGAAGTGTGCATTTTTCCTTCGGCGAGGACCATCGAGGAGCATCCTTGATCATTTGGGGAAAAAACCTCGCACGCAAACAGAAAAGCACAGGGAATGGACGTCCGAGCGATGGCCAGAGAGCCGCTGGCTTCCCGCTGCGGCGGTCCACTGCAGGGCGTGCGCGGCGAGGGCGCTCACCCCGAGCAGACATGAAGATATACTGCAACGGCATGGCCGATTGCCACCGCCCGCACACCGTGGTAGGCAGCCGGGATCCGACCGTACCGTGCCGAGCAAGGAGGGAGATTATTTGGCCGCATTTCGGCAGGCCCCAGTTCCCTGGCATCGCTCGGACGTGTGCGTTTTTTCTTCGGCGAGGACCATCGAGAAGCATCCTTGATCATTTGCCGCAAAAGCCACGCACGAGACCAAAAAAAACACAGGGAATGGACGTCCGAGCGATGGCCAGTTTCTCGTAAGGTCCGCTGCTCTGCAGCATTGCACGGACACTGCCACAGACGACGTGGAGGCGGTTCTATGATCCGGCCACAGCGTGGGCACACAGAATCAGGATCGTGGGAAGGGGTCTTGGAAGTGTTCGACGATGTCCACAATCCTCCTCTGGCCCCCCTCAGACGGGGCTATAGGACGAGGATGCATCCGTTCTGGAGCGTGCCGGAGCGCTCTCAGAGCGCCCCGGAACGCTCTGAGAAGGCCGCGGCGCCCGAGACATCTTCCAGAGCCGCCGGATCTCAGAGATTCTCGATTTGTCCTCACCGGATTTAATCCTTCACCACCCACCAAACCACCCCAACCCAACCCGAAGCCCTCAATTTGCCTTCCATTTCCAGTGGGGGGGGGGTCGGGGAACGTTGAAAGAACAAATGGTATCCGTACCCCCCCAACCCGAAATTCGGGACAAATTCGGGTCTTCGGGTTGGGGTGGGGTGGTCTGGTAGGTAGTCAATCCTCGTCCTGGCTTCGTCTTACCCGCGTAGCGGAGCTGCGCCCAGTACATCTGCTCGCGCGCCGGGGCCTCTCTTCAGAGTCGGGGCCGGCCGCGAGGCCGCCAGAAAAGGTCCTGCAGCGAGCAGAATTCCTGTCCAGCAGCAGCGTGGCGTACAACCCGACACCGGCGAGCACCTCCTGGTCCAGCCCGAGCAGGAAGACCATCTCGAGTGCGAGAATCAAGCACACAATTTTTCGGGGTTGGACAGACCTCCTGCCCTGACACGTCGATTGAGGAATTGGCCGTTTTCGGTTCGCGAGAGGGCGTCGCGGCCGTCATTTTTTGCGGGTCCAGGTCCGTAGGTTTCGGTCCCAGGCCGTTTTCACTAAGGGGAGGTTTATTAAAGGGAGGTTTGTCCAGCGCCGAATTTGGGCAATTCAAGATTGTAGGCCGCATCCAGCGTATGCCCAGGACCTCGCACGCGCGATCCATGGATACCAAGGGTCCAAGCCAGGGAGTGGCCCGACGGAGCCACAGACTCTGCCACTCATGATGTTGTAGAGTGCCTTCGAGCAACATCTTGGTGCAGATCCTCACTGACGTGTACACCACCCCGCATGGAAGATGAGTGCGGTGTAGACGTGGCCCCAAAAGGTTCAGGAGGGGAAAAAACACACACAGGCACAGTTAATCGTCGATTCCCCAGAAAATCTGGGAAAATATAGGAAGTGGGGGAAGACGAAAACCAAGAGAATATTGAAAAATATGGGGAATCCTGTTATTTGTGGTGTATATGTATTTGTGTGTGTCTCAGGGCCCCTTCATGTATGCGAGACCGCCGTCGGCCCACATAGCTAAAGCGCGCAGCCTCCTTGCGACGTTACCCCGACATACTTATACTGTATATGTGCGTCGCCCCCCCGGGGCGACGCTCGCACCGAGAAGTCTTCTGGTACATGCGTCGTGGCGGGCGCTTCCCTGGCCGCACCGCTCGGGAAACGGTATGCTACAAGCTGTGTGTGCGATGCATGTTCGGGTCGGACGCGCGCCTCCGAGGAGGACATGTACAGTCGGCCCTGATTAGTAGGTCGACCCTGCCAAATCAAGGGTACCCTTAGGTACCCTTGTGTCCTGTGCCTCGCTACCCATGCCTCCTATACCCCCCCATGGCAGTGTCGCCCTCGGAAGGGTCTTGTGTCCTCTCGCGTGTCCTGTCCAATCAAGGCCGACTGTAGCATCAGCATGTCTCTGTGCGTCCCACCGACACCGCTGCTCCCTGGACCTCTCCTGGGGTGCGTTCCGACCAGGATTTCGAGGCGAACGCAGCGGTGGCGACGACGGAGGCCCAGGAGGCACCAACAAAAGAAGAAAACGAGGGGAGGGTAGAGGTATATGGCTACATTCTCTGAGCATAGACCTCGTCGCCCGCCGCTCCCTTGCTCCGTGGCGCTCGAGGCCCGACCCACAGCCCAAAAGAGCTCTGCGCCGCGCCCACGGCCCCCATCGGGGGGACGGCGCCAAAGGCCGGGAGCCCGACCTCCCGAGGCCCTCCCAGGGCCCCAGGCCCGTGGCCCGCAGGTCCCCCTTCGCTTGGCATCGCTCGGACGTGTGCGTTTTTCCTTCGGCGAGGATCATCGAGGAGCATCCTTGATCATTTGGCGAAAAAAACACGCACGAAACCAAACAAAAACACAGGAAATGGACGTCCAAGCGATGGTCCCCCTTCGGCTCCGTGGCAGGGCGCAGGCGACGGCCAGGCGATGGCCCCGGGGTGAGGAGCGGCGGGCGACGAGGCCGATGCTCAGAGGAGGTGGCCATACACCTCTACCCTCCCCTCGTTGTTCCTCTCTTTTTGGGGCCTCCTGGGCCTCCGTCGTCGCCACCGCTGCGTTCGCCTCGAAGTCCTGGTCGGAACGCACCCCAGGAGAGGTCTAGGGAGCAGCGGTGCCGGTACCTTTTGGTTTCCCCATCTATTTCCCACAGCCCCCCGGCCAGGTCCTTCCTGGGCCCAAGAGCCGTGCACACGCCCGCCTGGGGCCAGAGGGCGTGGCGCATACACCGTGTGGCCAGTGCCCTCTAGCCCATGGAGCTGCTGGAGGTATTCTTTCGGTCAGTGAGGTCTCCCCCATTGCCAGCAGTGGTTTCCCAGCCGCCGCTGGTGTGTCCTTTTTCACTAAGGCTGTGCGGGCGTTGAGCTCAACAAAAAGCAGGCCTGGCCAGGGAACAGTGGATGGACGTGTACAGACTTCGTCGCCCCGGACGAAGCGCTCGGGAGCGCGTTTGAACGGCCGCGGCGCCCGATACTTCCTCGAGGCCCACCGGTTGCTCCCAGTCCGCCCTGTCCGAAGCTAGCAGCACCCTGCCGCCCCACGGCCAGTGCTCGGCGCGCGCGCGCTCTCCCGGCCGAGGGCCGGCCTGACCGGGGCGGCCCTGTTTTGGACGTTCGAAATGCGTGCGGAAAGAATGGGTACGCTGCCCAACAAACAATGTTGTCCCAAACCAGCAGCGGCAGCTGTTGGGCAAGCGGCATTCTGTCTCAAATGGACACATGCCGTGGCTGCGCGGACAGCGAGTCTTGTCCAAAACGAACAGGTTTTGCTGTTGGGCATCGTACCCAGTCTTTCCGTACCCATTTCGGGCGTCCAGATTTGTGCTCACTTGGCTATCGGGGAAGGCCGCGACCCAGACATGCTGAGGTCGTGCTGCAACGCTCCAGCTTCACGCGGCGATGGCGCGCCGGCGACGCCAGCGAAGGCGTTCGAGGTTGAATTCTGCGACGCGGAAGCACTTAGGGAAACGGTGACGCCACTTGAGCGACGCAAAAAATGTGAGTCGTTTGCGCCGACATTGGCGCGTAAGTTGCCCGCGTAATGTCGCGCGTAAGCGTCCTCGTTTCCAATGCAACGTGCCGTGCTGGCGGCCCGCGCAAGCCACCGCGAAAAGTCGTTATGCCCTCTCTCGTAAGACCTCCTTCGTGTTCGCCGCTCACCGGGCCCGACGGAATTCAGCTTTGAACACGTGCTTGAGCGGTCGGGGCCGCGATCGCTGCAAAAGGTAGAACGATCGACGCGGCGTCAAAGCAAAAACCCTGCGACAGCGCGGACGCCGCGCGAACCTGCCGTGCCACGATCGGGGGGGTTTGGGCTGCTTTCTGTATCCCGGGTCGGCCCGCTCGTCCATCGCGTCGTCGTGGTCGTCGTCGTCGTCGTCGTCGTCGGCGTCGTCGGCGCCATCGTGGTCGTCGTCGTGGTCGTCGTCGTCGTCGTCGTCGTCGCCGCCGCCGCCGCCGTCGGCGTCGTCGTGGTCGTCGTCGTCGCCGTCGTGGTCGGTCGTGGTCGACGTCGTCGTCGTGGTCGTCGTCGGCGTCGTCGGCGTGTCGGCGTCTTGGTCGGCGTCGTGGTCGTCGTGGTCGTCGTTGTGGTCGTCGTCGCCGTCGCCGTCGTCGTCGCCGCCCTCGTCGGCGCCCTCCTCGCGCGGGGCCCCCGCGAGCTCGGAGGCCCGCGCGGACTCCCTTTGAGAGATCGGCGCGGCACCTCCCCCTCGGGAGGGAAAAAAAAGCAGCGGCACAAGACAGCGTCGACACCCAGGGAGTTATGGGAAGATATGGGAAGTGGGGGGGAAGGCAAGAGTCCAGCAACTATGGGAACAGAAATTGGAATCCTGGGATGTGTGTGTATTTGTTTTTTTGTAGCTTCGACCGGAAGAGGTGCGCTCTCGACCCGCAGATCAAAAGTATGTGTATTTGTTTGCGTGTCCCTGGGCCCCTCACTCCCTCCTTTGGCGCACGAAGCGCGCCAAGGGCGGTGCCAGAGGCATTGCCAGTGAGGGTTCCAGCGATGACCAAGAAGTCAGCGCAGATGTCCGAAGGTTATGTTTAGTTCGCTCTCTTCTTCTTCTTCTTCTTATTCTTCTTCTTCTTCTTCTTCTTCTTCTTCCAGCACATGCCCAATCGGCGTCCTCCGACCTCCGAGTCGACTTCGACCCCGTGCCGATGCAGGCCAGAAGACGCGCCTTCTGCACGACCCGACCTCCCGATTCGATGTTGAGTGGAGTTGCCTCTCCCATCGGGAGGGAAAAAAACACACAGGCACAAGACATCGTCGTTACCCAGGAAGCTATGGTTAAGTCGGGCCTGTCCCCCTACAGGGGGATTTTCGACGAAAAATAAAACAAATACCCTAGAAAGAATTAAAACATAGTCTAAAAATAGTCAAGGGACTAGTTTTTGAGCATCTTTTGATCTTTTGCACGCAGCCACCGGCAGGCCGCGCAACAAAAGGCCAGCCGTAGCCCAGTGCAGCGGCGTAAGACGAGAGCGGTCGAGTGCGCGGACGCTCGCGCGGCAGCTCCCCGCATGAGGCCGCGCGCAAACGCCCTCTTCTCCACGCAGTGTGCCACGCTGGCCTCCTCCTCCTCCTCCTCCTCCTCCTCCTCCTCCTCCTCCTCCTCCTCCTCCTCCTATCCTCCTATCCTCCTATCCTATCCTCCTATCCTCCTATCCCATCCTCCTCCTCCTCCTCCTCATCCTCCTCCTCCTGATGGGCGGCGTGGCTCCCCCGAGAGGAGACTGTCCCGATCCCAGTGGTGGCGGCCCGCGTCAGCCGCGGCGTAAGGTCGCCATGCCATCGCGCGTAAGACCGACTGTTTGTCTCGTCGCCCAAAAAGAAGCACACGAGGTCATCAACGACAGCCCGGACGCGTGGAGTCGCAAAACCTACATTGAATGATCCCAGTGGTGGCGGCAATCTTTGGGCTTCTGCTCTGGACGCCCGAAATGGGCAATTCCGGAAAAATGGGTAGAATGCCCAACAACCAACGTTGTCCCAAGCCAACAGCGGCCGCTGTTGGGCAGGCGGCCTTCTGTCTCACATGTGCACGGGCCGCGGCGACACCGACAGCGAGTCCTGTGCAAAATGAGCAGGAAATGCTGTTGGGCATTGTGCCCATTCTTTCCGTGCCCATGTCGTTCGTGCCGATCTGCAGGTCGCCGAAGGATTCTGCCACCGGCACCAAAATCTGGGATCACCCTCCCCCGGCGGACAGTCCCCGGTTCTTCCACCGCCAGGAGGCGTCCAGGGAGCTCGAGGAGTGGCGGAGGATGTGGACAGTGGACCTCCGCCCGCCCGCTGGGGCGGGGGGCAGATGTCCACTGTCCACCGCCCAACGAGTCCTGAGGACACCACCCCGCGGCGGTGGACGTGGACATACTCTGTCAGGAGGGAAAGAAACACACAGACACAATGAATCGTCGATTCCCCAGAAAATATGGGAAACTATGGGAAGTGGGGGGAAGACAGACACCCAGAACATATAGGAACATAGGGGGATTCTTTTTATATGTGTGTATTTACTTGTGTGTCCCAGGGCCCCTTCACTCTGGCGGCGCAGCTTTGGTGATGGCGCCCCCCCTGCCGAGCCTCCAGCGCCGAGCCGTCTCGCGCCGCGGAGCGCGCAGGCGGCGGCGGTACGACCCGCAGGCGGCCGCGCCGCGGCCGCCTCTGCCGCGCGCGAGGGGCGTCTGCGCTGCTGCCGGATGGGATGTATGGAAGAAGTTGTGTGGTTGTCAGCCGTCTCGACCTCTCTTGAGCCATCTCGGAGCACATCCTCGTCCTGCACACGTCCTCCTCCTCCTCCTCCTCCTCCTCCTCCTCCTCCTCCTCCTCCTCCCCTCCCTCCTCCCCCTCCTCCCCCTCCTCCTCCTCCTCCCCCTCCCTCCTTGACGTGCAAGAGCAATGGCACGCGTGCCACGTGTTGGTGTTGGACTCCACAGGCGTCCCGGCGCTCTCGCCTCGGCGCCGGCTGCACTTCCCTTGAAATGGAGGCTCACGCTCGAGCGTTTCGGGCTAGCGCCCCAATCGGCCCCCCACCAGCAAGGCCCCCACGCGATACCTCCTCGCATCTGGTCCGGAGAGACCCTGGCCAGAGAGGGCCCGAGCGTCAGGAAGAGCGCTCTCGGCTGAGACTTCCTCGCAACTTGGCACCACCCACAGTGAGATCCTTCAGAGCAGTATTGCCGCTGCTTGTGGATGTCGGATCGGCCGTTTCTCTTGAGACGCCCTCGCGATTCAGCACCAGAAGGAGGTCCTTCAGAACCAGGTTGCTGCTACTCGCGGATGCCAGCACGGCCTGTTGCCCGAGACTGTCCTTCACAATTCAGCTCCACACGCGGGGTCTGTCAGCGCATTCTGACTGCTACTCGCGGATGCCAAAACTCGGGGGGGAAAAAACCCACAGACACAATGAATCATCGATTCCGAGGAAAATGTGGAAAACATGGGAAGTGGGAGAGAAGGCGAAAACCCAGAAAATATGCGAAGATAGGGGGAATCCTGGGATTTGTGTGTATTTGTTTCTGCTTCCTTGGGCCTCTTGCAGACCAGCCGTTTCGCTAGAGTTTTCTTCGCAAGTCATCAGCACAGGGGAATCCTTGAGGGCAGTCTTGCCGCTATCTGCGGAGGCCCCAGGAGGCCCCAGGACCCTCCTTGGATATGTGATCGGGGAGCGTTTTTCGGCCCTCCCGCCCCCAGGAGGCCCCAGGAGGCATCTTCTGCATATGGCTCCGTGTTCGGGGAGCACTGTTCGGCCCCTCCGCTCCCAGGAGGCCCTCCCCGCTTCATGGAGGCCCCAAGAGGAAACCAGGAAACATGTCTCTGCCTTGGGTCTACGTGTTCGGGGAGCGCTTCTCGGTCCCCCGCAGGCTTCGCCCCCGCAGGCCTCGCCAGCTCACAGGCTTCGCCGCCCCTCTTTCTCGGGGATCGCATTTTTTTGTGCTTCGCGTATGTTCCTATAGATTGCCCTTCTCCTGGTGTTCGAATCCTTCTGTGCTTTACGCGTGCTTCCATCGATTGCCCCTCGACTGGGGCTCGAACCTTTTGCGTGTCTTATGGACGTTCTCAGAATATATTTCTCTCTCTCTCTCTAAATATGTCTCTCTCTCTTTCTCTCTCGTTCTCTCTCTCTCTCTCTCTCTATGGATTGTCCCTCTTCTGGGGTTCGAACCCTTCGTGTTTCGGATCCTCACCGCTCCGCGACGGCGCACTGCATTTGCATGCGTTGTGCGAGCTGGAAGTGGGAACGTGCCTCGGGAGAGGTGTTGGTTTGACATCATTGGGCGGAAGATCTGGGTGTGGGAAAGTTGGCCTCCACTTTTTGGTACAGGTTTCCCAGGAGGAGGTGGCATCATGATGGTTGCATGTGGTATGTAGAAACATGGCGTGTGAGGGTGAATTGACTGTTGTTGGTGTTGTTGGATATTCCGCTGATTATTGGGAATTCCACAGGGATCCCGTGATTGTACGGGTTTCACAGGGATCTCATGAGGGGTTGTAGGGATTCCACAGGGGGTCATGGTGGGGTCTGAAAGATTCCAACGGGATCCCATGAGGGTGTGTAGGGATTCCATACGGGTCTGCCAGGATACCATCGCATTCCCATGAGGGTCTGTAGGGATCCCCTTTGGACCCCACGGTAGGCATTCCAGAGGGATCCCATGAGGGTCAGCAGGGACCCGCAATGATCCCATGAGGGTATGCAGGGATCCCATAGGGATCCGGGATCCCATGAGGGTTTGTAGGGCTTCCATAGGGATTCCATGAGGGCCTGTAGGGATTGCACAGTGCTCCCATGATGGGGTCTGTAAGGATTTCACACAGATCCCACAAAGGGTTGCAGGGGTGCGATCGTGACCCCTTGAAGGCTTTTAGGGGTTCCACATGGCCCCCATGATCGACAGCAGGGATTCCATAGGGATCCCATGGGGGTTTGTAGGGATTCCCACAGGGATCCCATGAGGGCCTGTAGGGGTTCCATGGGGACCCTATGAGGGTCTGTAGGGGCCCCCATCGGGATCCAATGCGGGTCTGTACGAATTCCAAATTGATTCCATGAGGGCTTTGCAGGGGTGCCACAGGGAACCCATGCGGGGGCCGTCGGGATCCCATAGGGATCCCATGGGGGTCTGTATGGGGTTCCACAGGGACCCCGCGCGGGTCCGCAATGATCCCATAGGGATCCCACGAAGGCTTGCATGGACCCCATGAGGGCTTGCAGGGATCCCGTGAGGGCCTGTAGGGATTCCACACGGCTCCCATGAGGGTCTGTGTAGTTCCATAGGGACCCCATGGGCTCTGTAGGGATTCCAACCCCATGAAACATCTGAGGGATCCCAGGGGGATCACATTCGGGTTTGTGCGGCTGCCATACGGATCCCAGGAGGGCCTATAGGGATTCCACCGGGATCCCATGAGGGGCCTGCAGGGGTCCCATAGGGATCCCATGCGGGCCTGCACGGGCTTCACACGGATCCCATGAGGGTTTGTAGGGATTTCACAGGGACCATATGAGGAGCTGGAGGGATCCCAAAGAGATCCCATGAGGGTTTGTGAGGATTCCACACGGCTCCCATGAGAATTCATGGAGGTTTCCATCGGGATACCATCAAGGTCTGTATGGGGTTCCACAGGGATCCCATGTGGGTATTTAGGGGTGCCATGGGAATCATACGAAGGTTTGCAGGGATCCCACAGGGATCCCATGAGAATGTGTAAGGATGCGAAACGAACCCCGTACGGGTCCGTAGGGGGTCCATAGGGTTCCCAAGAGGAGTTGTAGGGATCCCATAGGGATCACATACGGGGCCTGTGCGGATCCCATCGGGATCTCATGAGGGTATGTAGGACTTCACATGGCTTCCAGGAGGGGTTGCAAGGATCCCGCGCGGATCCCATAAAAAGGGGATTCGACTGGGATCCCACGAGCGTCTATCGGGAACACACAGGGATCCCATGGGGGGTGTAGGGATTCCAAGGGGAGCCAATGATGGCCTGTATGGATTCCATGGGGACCCCATGGGGTCGGTAAGGGTTTCACAGGGAGCCCATGAGGGTCTGCAGAGATTGCACAGGGATCCCATGAGGGGGCTGCTGGGAGTTCAGGGATCCCAAGATGGCTTGCATGGGTCCCATCGGGATCCCACGAGGGTCTGTAGGGATGCCATCGGGGTCCCATGCAGGCCTGTAGGGATTTCACGGAAACCCTGGAGGCATGCAGGGCTTCTATCGTGACGTCTTGAAGGTTTGATGGGTTTCCACCAGGACCCCATGAGCATCTGCAGGGATCCCATGGGGATCCCATGCGGGTTTAGGGGGGTTCCCATCGGGCTATGGGGGTCTGTAGGGATTCCACAGGGTTGCCATGATGATTGGTGGGGAACCCGTTGGGCACATTGGGGTCTGTGTAGGTCCCGTCGGGGATCCCACGAGGGTCTGCAGGGACTCCCCAGGGACCCCATGAGGGTCTGCCGGGCTTCCACAGGGATTACATGAGGGTCTGTGGGGACCCCCATAAGGATCCCCAGGGGGCCTGCAGGGATCCCATGGTGGTTTGTCGGGAGCCCACGTGACTTCCATGAGGGTGCGCAGGAGCCCCATCGGGATCCCACGGGGGTACGCAGGAATTCCACAGGGATCCCGTGAAAGGCCTTTAGGGGTTCCATCGGGTTCACATTGGGGCTTGTAGGGATCCCGCAGGGATCGTATGGGGATCTGTAAAGATATCACATGGCTTTCATGAGGGTCTGCAGGGGCCCCATAGGGCTCCCATGGGGGCCTGTGGGGATTCCATAGGGATCCCATGCGGGCCTGTGGGGGTCCCACAGGGGCCCCGCGCGGGCCCGCTGGGATCCCATAGGGATCTCATGAGGGCCTGCATGGACCCCACGAGGGCTTGCAGGGATTCCATAGGGACCCCGTGAGGGTCTGTGGGGGTTCCACAGGGCTCCCATGAGGGTCTGTGTGGATTGCATCAGGACCCCATGGGGGCCTGAAGGGATTCCAACCCCATGAGGGTCTGACGGTTCCCATCGGTATCCCATACGGGCCAGTAGGGATTGCATACGGGTCCCATGGGGGCTATTGGATTCCATGGGAATCCCACGAGTGCTCTGTAGGGATCCCACAGGGATCCCATGATGGGGTCTGTAGGGAACCTATATGGATCCCATGAAGGTCTGGAAGGGGTTTCGCACGGATCCCATGACGGTTGTAGGGAATCTATCGTGACCCTTTGGGGGCTTGTTGGGGTTCCGCACGGCCCCGTGAACGTCTGCAGGGATTCAGTAGGGATCCCATGAGGGCCTGTCAGGGTTTCCATCGGGAACCAATGAGAGCCTGCAGGAGTAGCATCGGGATCCCACGATGGTCTGTAGAGTTTCCACAAGGATCCCATGAGGGTCTGTAGGGATCCCACACGGATCCTGTGAGGTTTTGTATGGGGTCCCATCGGGATCCCATGAGTATTTGTTGGGATTTAACGGGGTCCCGTGAGGGTCTTTTGGGATTCGATCGTGACTCTTGAAGGCATGCAGGGGGGTCACAGGGATTCCATGAGCGTTTGCAGGGTTTCCATAGGGATTTCATGGGGATCCCACGAGGCTTTGTAGGGGTCCCCATCAGGATCCAATGAGGGTCTGTAGGGGGGC